GAATTCATTTTAATTTCAGCTTTTTAAAATATTTTTTTTTAGAAACTGAAAGTTAACCTGCATAAATACAAATACAAAATGCACTTTTTAAATTATGACAAAGACATGGTTAATAAAAAATGAAGAAAAGAAAAAAAACCCTGTAAAATGTGATCTCATATTTCCCTTTGCTTTTTTCAGCATGGAACGGATGTGCAGTCATCTCGCTCCACAGCAACACGAATCCCCATGTCAAAAGGTATGAAAACAGGGAAAGCGGTCTTAGGCCTGTCCACGACGTCACGCTCTGAAAGCCAGTCTATGAAAATTGAACTGAGGAAATCGTCAGTTTGCAGCTCTGCAGCTGGAGGGGGAGGAAAGAGCTGAGATTGGCTCATGTTAATGTGGCACTGGAAATTAATCGAAGCACTACAGAACTGAATGAACAGAAATGTTGCAATGTAAAACAAGGCAATCATTGGCACTGGGGCCTCCATTTCTGGATTAAGAAACATTATTGCAATATTGTAAATATTCTATGTTCTATATTTAAATCAGCCTTTATGTACAGACATCTATGGTTGGATGTCATACAAATGGAAAAGTGACTGATCTTTGCACGCGTGTTGTTGTTTTTTGTGCTAAAGCACATTTTGACTAACACTTCACCTTGTTTTTTTTCTTTTAATATTTATTTTTCCATTTAGCATTTCACTAATGTTTTATTTTGTAAAACAGCTTGTGGAGGTTTCCAGGGGGAATGAAATGTATTAAATGTCACTGAATGAATTTTTGTGATTCCACTTAATAAATTTTCTTTTCAGAACACATAGAAACATTCTTTTTTTATTTTATAGTTTGGGCTTTTAAGTCATTTTTATTGATTATTAAAATATTGATATTTGATAGGAAATGCTAGGGAGAAGATGGGGTGGAAATATTATTTATTTCTATCATGCTGTATATATATTGTCGGGGGTACTGGACCAAGGTCAGGAAACCTCCATAATGTGTGAATAACATTTTAAACAATATTGATTTTAGTAAAGCATGTTCAGTGGATAAACTTATAATCCTGATTGACCTATTTTTGTGAAGGACAGTGAAGGAATTTGATATTACTCGTAAAAATTATATCAATGTCTTTTGCTTTCTTGCAATTTAGTAACATATTCTGAATCAATTTAATGATTAATAATACACACACATTTTTTGTAAGGAACAATTAAAGGTTTAGGTCACCTAAAAATGAAAATTCTGTCATTAATTACTTATTAATTTCATCACTTGATAAAATTGAGGTTTAACAACTTGAGTCACATGGATTACTTAAATCATGTCTTTACAACCTTTCTGGGGCTTGAAAGTGATAGTAGCGTAGCTGTCAATGGAGAAAGCTCTCAGATTTCATCAAAAAGATCTTCATTTCTGTTCTGTAGATGAACGAAAGTCTTACGGGTTTAGAAAAACATGAAGGTGAGTAAATAATGACATAATTTTCATTTTTGGGTGAACTAACACTTTAATATAAATATAAGTACAAACATTCACAAATTTTCCTGAATGTTTCGCCCATAGAAGTCCATTACTGTACACATCATTTTTGCTTCTTTATACAAACTGAGGGAGGAGTCTAAATTATTTTCTTTCTTTTTCATTAAACAACATTAATTCACAATATTGAACCCAGAACATTCCTATAATGAAGATTTGGACACATTTGTTACTTGCTTTGAAAAGGGGAAGTCTAGTGCCCTTCACTTTAATGAAAACAAGGGTAATTTCTTTAGATATCTCTCAATTATTTCTTCTGGAGAAGTTGCAGTGCGATCAGAGTTTAGTGTTTAATCCAGGCCATCTGGGAGCCAGAGGACATGGTTATGAGAAATAAGAAACAACAGCTGGAGATCTGGAGTCAAGTTTAACATCCTGATCGTGTCCTTCTGCCGGATACAATCTCAACTACACAGATAAAATAAAATAAAAAATAAACTAATTTAAGACTCTTAATTTATGTTTGGCCTTAAATGAAATTATGTCATCACTTACTCACCCTCACGTTGTATGACTTTCTTTCCTACATGATGTTTTGCAGAAGGTCCAGAATGATCTTTTTCATATGAGGCCTGGTGCTGTCGAGCTCCAAAAAAGCTCTCAAATCTCATTCAAATCTGCTTTCGATTCATTTAGACGATATTAGCCACAGAAGAATGAAAGTCAAACGGGTTTGGAGCGACATGAGGGTGAGTAGCCTAAATGATGACAAACTTTTTATTTTTAGATGAACTATTCCTTTAAAGCAACAAGCTTTTGTATTTGCTGTTTTGTGTGTCACTATCGAGGGCTTTTTAAATCAATTAATTCCATTTTCATTGCAGCCAAACTGACAGTGTTCGTTTTCTAATCCATCCTTGCGTAATAACAGGCTTTGGCAGCTCTCTGATGACATCACTCATGAGATAGATTCCCAGAAAACGATCGTAAAATCGCTTTATTTTCACCATCCATGAACTTGGCTGCTCAAAAAGTGCAGCATGAATCTGACACTGATTCTTTCCATGCAGTAGGCTAAGTCGTGGCTTTCAGATGATTGCAGTTTTGTCTCATAAGCTCACTTTCCCTGTTTTCATCCACAGAGAATCTTGTGCTCCTTGTGAATCGAGAGCCGCGCTGAGGCTGTTTCGGATGCTTTCCATAATATGCCTGACAGAAGGGTCTCTACACCTGCCCTGCATCCAAACGCACCAATAAAAAGAGGGGATCTGTAGTGTGGCAGCTTGTATACACATGCATTCACAGGCTAAGACAGACAGACTGCTGAAACCTGGATGCCAGTAAAGAAAGTTAGAGTAAAAAGGTCATGCTTTTGAGAACAAAATGATAAGCCTACAGAACATGAAAAGTTGCAGCATGTGAGAAGAAGAGAAACCCATATATTTTTTTGGATGTGTTTTGAGAATAAAAGCCCATTCACACCAAGAACTATAACTATATAACTATTTATTAAAGGATGCACTGCAGTTTTGCCGTGTGCTTAAATGCTCAAAGTCAGATGGATTCTGATTTTCTGTCAAAGTTTTTTTGGTTCATCAGGCAGAAAAAAATAGTTTTGAAAATGATTCCAACGATATTGTTCTTCTGTGCCGTTATCGTTATAGTTGTGGTTTGAAATCTGTTTTCTATTACATTTAGAACAATTTTTTAAAACCGTATTGCTATAGTTATTGTCCTTGGTGTAAATGGGCCTTAAAGGGATACTCCACCCAAAAATGAAAATTCTGTCATCATTTATTCTCTATCATGTTGTTCCAAACCCATAAGACTTTAGTTCATTCATAGTCACATATCATTTGTTGTAAATGCAAGCTCAAGCATGTTCGCTTGACGTGCGGGAACCAATGAGGTTCATTCTCGTGTTACGCAGCACGTTTGAGATTCAACAAGAACCAATGAAATTCATTCTCGTGTTACGCAGCACGTTTGAGCTTCAGCAAGAACCAATGAGGTTCATTCTCGTGTTACGCAGCACGTTTGAGATTCAACAAGAACCAATGAAATTCATTCTCGTGTTACGCAGCACGTTTGATATTCAACAAGAACCAATCAGTTTCATTCTTGTATTACGCAAAACGTTTGATCTTAAGCAAGATCAATGAGGTTCATTCTCGTGTTACGCAGCAAGTTTGAGCTTCAGCAAGAACCAATTAGATTCATTCTCGTGTTACGCAGCACGTTTGAGCTTCAACAAGAACCAAATAGGACATATGGATTCGTTTTATGATCACTTCATGAACTTTTTTAAGCGCCAAAATGGTAGTTGCGAAGCTGTCAATGGAGGGACAGAAAGCTTTCAGATTTTATCAAAAAGATCTTCATTTGTGTTCTGAAGATGAACGAAAGTCTTACGGGTTTGGAACGACATGAGGGTGAGTAATTATTTGACAGAATTTTCATTTTGGGTGAACTATCCATAAAATGATTCAGTAAGACGAGGAAAAGCATTGAAAAAGTCAACAAGAAATCAAAATGGACCCCATTGACTTTCTTAATGCACATTCCTGATATTATCTCGAACGATTCATGAGTGCACGTTATTCTAAAGGAAAACGTGTTTGCATAATCTTTCTATTTAATTTTATTCTTGTAAGAAATGTTTCACTTGGAAATGTTGAGTTATGGAAGTATATTGGACTGTGTGTAAAGAAGTCCGTTGACTTTAAACACTGGTCTATTTTTAAATAATATATTGGTTGCTTTAAAAAAAAAAGACTGGATAAAAGTGTCACTCCTGGAAGCAGTTTATTGATCATTTATTTATCAATAATTGTCTGTTATGAATGCTGGCATTGATGTGTTAAATTAATGAGCATGTCCTGAGAGATGGTCATGTGGGGAAAAGGTTTAGTTAAGGATACTCACTGCACAGAACTGCGACCCACAAAATCCGTATAATCAATATTAGCATTTAATTTCATTTACAGCATATGACCTCTGTAAATGAGGGCACTGAACTGTCTGTCAGCTCCTGCATAGCCTATATAAAAATGAGAAATTCACCAAATAAAAAACATGTTGTATGAAGCACACGACTTTATGAGCCACTGCACCACAAACAAGTAATGAATAAATCCACATTTGCATGAGATCATATCTATCTGTCTGTCTGTCTGTCTGTCTGTCTGTCTGTCTGTCTGTCTGTCTGTCTGTCTGTCTATCTGTCTGTCTGAATCTTATGTCTGATATGCAAAATTGATGTTGTGTTCACTGTCCCGCCGGCTATGACGCGCTGCTAATAACTAGCTGCTAATTTCCATTCCCCTTAATGATTTTTATTTTTCCATTGTGTGTCAGTGAGGAAACAATTTTCTGGGAGTGTGACTTGTTTTCTGTTTGCGGACGCGGATAAAATAATCGTAGCAGTGTCTCTCCTGAACAGCAGATGGAGACTCTCTCTCTCTCTCTCTCTCTCTCTCTCTCTCTTTCTCTGTCACACCAGTTTCTCTCTGTCCCGTGAGTGTGAGTTCAGTCATTGACGCTGAAAATGTTTCGACACATTCTGGTAATTATTACAAATATTTAGTTTAAGTTTAATAATGTATGGTGGTTTTCAAATAATTCATCATGCGTTAGCTTTTTTATCACGTCAAATGTTACGGTTGTTTATGTAGGAGTTTGAGGAAGTTTAAGAAGTGAAACGCGGGAGTCATGAGCAGTTTGACGTTTTGCACGTCTACAATCAATGAAACTATGATGGTGGAGGTGATGATGATCATGTTTTATAATTCAAATAAGCCAAATAATAGCTGTTGTAATTGTTTAGATGGTGTCTGTGTTTATTAATGAGCTGCTATTTGAGTGCACATATTTATATGGTTTTATATTTCCTCTTTCTGCTCATATAAGTAAACATAAACAGCGACCGGTCTCACACATATTATTTGGACTTTGGAGTATAGTGGTCATAAAAACTGTCTAAAAGTCATTCACCTGTGTGAATTTCAAACATCCTCTAAAAATCACCAAAACGCCAGATGATTAAAAGTCATTGGCCAAAGGGAAGAAAGACGGTTAGTTATTTATTTACACATTGTTTGTTTGTTGCAAGTAAAGATACAGCACTGCATTTAAATAACATGAAATCCCAAGAAAAGGGAAAAGAAGAAGACCGAAAAAAATACAGTCAAATAACAAAGCCCCTCAACTAGTAAGACAACTGATCATATTTCTTAAGAAAATTGTTCTTATTGTTATCAATGAGTTTAAGATATTTTACAATAGGGGAAATCTCAGTGTGAAAGACATCAAATCTAGGCAAAGTCTTGAGAAAAAAATGTTTGTGATTAAAAAGTAAAGAAAAAAAGAAATGTAAAAAAAATGAATTATAAGTATAAAGTATAAAATATAAGTAAAAGAAACATGTCTTTCAGTGAAAAGTTTCAATTGCATTTTATAAAAGGAGGAAGATAACAACTTAAGTTCTCCCGAAGAGATTTAACTTGATTGTATTGGTAAAATAAATGAAGCGAAGTTTCAGAATAAGGAAGAACGTTTTTGTGTCACACCGATACGGGCGGATGACCTAGGAGCACCAAAAATGCAAGTGTTTGTAACAGAGAAGAAAATAATAATAATCATGAATCAGAACATTTGTTTCATCATTGTTTCCTTCAGTTGACATGCATTATTTATGGTACACATGCAGTGAGTCTATGAACTGTCGTCAATATTACACTTTATATTTCACACACACACACACACACACATTAAGTTAATTGTTCACTTAATTGCCAAGACACTTATTTTGTACAATATTTAATATAGTTTCTGATGACATTTGTATGTGCATCACATTTGTCATTTTTAAGTTACTTTATTAGTATTTTTTATCTCCATGAGACTCTTCAGCAGGTTTCCAGATGGCAGATCTCCAGAAGCGTTCACAGGCAGCTGCTGAATAAGGTGCCAGAGAAGCAGAAGCTGTTTCAGGTATGGTTGTCACTTTTTCTCACCCCTGACAGCGATATACTGTATATATTTTATGTATAATTGAATTAGACCAAATGAGATATATGCATAATACTTATTTACTTGAAGGCTGTGTTCACTTAATAGCGCTCAGATCTTTTTGCTTTGGTTGTTCACTTGTTTGTTTTTTATATGTGCTTATAAAAATGTGGATTTATGTTTCTTGTTTAGGAGGCTAATGGGATGCCAGTTCATCTGAAGGGAGGAGTCAGTGACACTGTTCTTTACCGTGCAACTATGGGTCTCACAGTGATGGGTGTGTTATTGAGCGTATTAACACATGATTGCCCAGTTTTACAGACAAGGCTTGAGACTAGTCCCAGACTATAATGCATGTTTGAGCTGTCTTAACTGAAAGCAACTTGCTATGACATCTCTCAGGCCCTGTTTACACCTGGTATTAAGATGCGTTTTGGTCGATCACAGACGAGGGAGACACATTCCTGTTTACACCTGGTGTTTAAATCTGTCTCTTTTGTCCACTTTCATCTTGATTGCTTCGAGGGGAGGGTCTATGGGCGGGTGAATGCATGGACTTTTTTTAGATCTTTCGATCTAATGGACAAAAAAAGCTTGCGCAATTTACATATGAACACGACTGGAGAAAACAGAAAAACACACGGAGAGCATCAGCTTTAGTTTCTGCACTGGCAGCTTCAAGACCAGCCGAACGCTGTGAGTGTGTGTTAGACATCAGGAATGGAGAGAGAACATTGAGCTTGGTACGTTTTTCATCTTCAAACCAAACTTGGGTCTTCAGCCGACAAAGTTTAAATCCCGTCTGTCTAGAGCTCTTCCCATAATGTTTAGGCATTAGGTCAGTAAGAGGAGAGTAGACGGTCTTTTGCGGCTGTTCGACCACACACTACGAAAGCTATCTGACATCCGGAAGTGGACTCAAGCTCAAAACGTTTTAGACCCCGTTTACACCTGTATTTAGCATCATCCACTTGTGATCGATCGACCAAAATGTCTCTTAATACCAGGTGTAAACAGAGCCTGAGGCACGTTTATAAAAGCTACTTAAATGTCCTAATTGAACTAAGGCCTAATCCTTTCTGTGAAACCAGGCCTATGTGTGGCTTCTGGGTGATCAAGTTGAAAGCGCACTCCCAATGTCTGTATAGCTGTGGCAAATTCAAATTTGTTCAAACCGCATAATTTGCCGTGATGCTTGACACGTCTTAGCAAGCATGGATATGTATTTGAGTTAGTAAACTCTAATCACTAATCATTCATGTGTCTCTTTTCAGGAACTGCATGTGTCATATATCAACTAGTAAAGGCAGCTGTGCCTCAGAAGAAGGACTGATGTCCGCTCCTGCCCTCATTTCTGTTCAAATGTGACGTTATGAGCATTTCACACCATACACTTATTCTTTCATTTGGAAGGTAAACGGGACCAAAGTGATTTAAATAAAACAAACTGCCTGTCATAACTGGACACATCTTGATTGTTTTACTTTACTCAATGACAATTTAAATGCACCCAAATTAAAATTATTTTAGGACTACTATTAAGATATTTTTGCCTTGCATTGCACATATTTTGCATTGCACATTTTCTTTATGCAAAAAGTCATACTTTTCTTTTGATTGTGGGGTGTAATCTTACAGACCTTAGCTGTTTCTAAAATGGTTTTCATGCGATTCATCTTTTAATTCTAGTTATTGATGAGGTTTGTCTTCTGATTTCATGCCTCCTCCTTTTGAAACGTATGTGATAATATTCTTCTCATAAAGAACGTGATGATGAAAACAAACAACTAAACTGTTTTTCCTTCTGAACGTAAGTTAGCATTAACTGATGCAGGATGTTTGTGACTCACAATGCAGCGTTTAGAAGCATGTTTTCGATACGGTCTGTTTCTTGGACGTCTTCATCGTTTCCTAGGAGACAAACAGTAATGTGCATTTCCTTTTTGTTCTTCAAAACAATGTGTTTTCAAGGCATATAAAATAGTTTCCAAATGCCTGTACATCAAAGAACTGTTTTCCCCTCTGGAAGTTCAAATTTACAGAAACATCTGATCATTTGAGCTCAGCATTGGTGGTCTATACAGTTGAGCTCATATGGAAATTTATCACATGCATTACGAACAATGTGCTCTTTGTGTCCCATACAAAATCTCTCAGTTCATTGCAGAGATTGAAACAGACGTAGCTAAAATAATTGCATGCTAATTATAAAACTTTTAAAGTACAGATCATTAATTCTGCAAGCCATCTATAAGGAGCAGTAGAAGTTCAAGCTTTCCCTTGATCAATAGAACTATTATGCATTTCTCTCGAACATTGAGAGTAATGAGCTAATGATCAAATTAAAAACAGTCCTGAGCTCAGCTGAAACAACTAATAGACTCAATGATATCAAACCAAACTCTACCCTGACTCCCAGTTGGCACCCATGTGTTTTAAATGTTTATTCTTCAGATGGGCAACAGAAGTGTTCATTTATGGCTTGATAATGAGATCGGGTGTAGTTTTGATTCATAAGATGTGATCCCCTCTGTGTGTTACCCGATTCGACCACTAGGGGGCTTCATATTCAAATAAATGGAAATGCATGGTTGTAAAACTGATCTATAGGCTCAAGTTAACTCAGTCATAAGTACAGTTTACCATTTTATTTGGTTGTTTAACCGTTTTTACAGTTTTTCTGATATTGCTGGGCACAATTGCTTTGCTTAAATCTTGATATCTGTGTTTTGGACGCGGTAGATGAATTTTACCTGATTTAGCTGGTCCAGAACTACTGAAACGAATCTACTGGCTTATAAGCTTGATTTTTCAGCAGGGTTTTAATATCACACAGAGAGAGAAAAAAATCATACTTAATAAGTAAGTAACACTACAAAAGTTTGATTGCAAGACGAGTCAAATCTTGCACAACTAGCAAAAAGTAGTTGTGTTGGCGCGAAGATGATGTTACCATATCAACCACTCAAGCGCCTGCCGTTGGGACCGTTGAACGATACGTCAGAAACAGTATCGATATTGTCATTATGATTACGATATTCTATATTTAGCGTACATATCGCACGAAATTGTAAGTAAAAACCCTTCGTGATGTTTTACTATAGTTGTTGTCGGCTGGTTCAACTGTGCTGGGAGCACCATAAATCTTTTTTTTTTTTTTTTGCGCGCGCGATATCTCCTCAGATTGTAGGCCTATTCCTAAAATGACCGAGGTAGCAGTATATTTATTTGAAAATGTTCGCCCTTCTGAAAACCACATTCTAATTACTTTAATAGTTATTTATAATTCCTTCACTTTGTAATTGAGTTAAAAACAAAGGCTATCATGATATCAAAATAAATGTAGCCTAGTAGCCTAGGCTATAGCCTGTTAAAAATGTGCGATTCCTATTTAATCTCGTCCGGAGTAATGTAGCCTATTTCATAATAATTCCTGCTGAAACCAAAAACATAGATAAGTGACATGCTGCAGGAATGCCGAAAATAAGCGCGAGTTTCCAAAAGCGCATCCCAACACATCCATCCATCACACGGTGACGTCAGAGCTCCGGGTTCGGGATTGGGATCAGCCCCAGTCCCCTGTTTAGAAGCACATTCTAGTCTGAGATCCTGTGCATTTGAAAACAGCCTTCACGAGCTGTGGGTGATCAGATCCTCCTCTTCATTTTCATCTCCATCACCACAGCATCACGGAGAATCTCTTGCCTTTCTGAAAAGACCTTTAAATCCCTTTGCATCCGGGCGAAACTTCCTATTTCATTCAACAGTTTTGTGATGTATTGAGAGATTTTGGGAACTTTGGGGAGTTTGGTAAGTGCTCATGTGGAGTTTCTTCTTTTATTGATAAACCTATTTAAACTTATATGAAGGAAGGTGTTATTGATCTTAAAATGTGAGACGAATTAAATGTAATATGAAATGATGAATGTGTGCACACTGACCCATTTTCAGCTGCTCTGATCACTTTTTCCATAGACGTTTGAATGGTGATTTCATTTTTTCCACCACCCTGTTATTGTGCTCTTTTAAAGTTGTTTGGGATGATACTTATCTATTTTCTATTGCTGAGAAATCTAGATAACTTGTAAGACTCATAAGACCTTTATTGACTTCATTTATTGGGGAATTTTTATGTTTATTTACCTACTTCACATGTACTGTGCTTAAAGAATACAGGTAGAAGAGCTTAGATAAATATAATTAAAAGATTTAGAGTGAGGTTCAAAACTGTTTTTCTTAATAAATGTTCAGAAAGCATGTTGTCACCGTATATGAGAGGTTGTTAAGACTGGTTTAGCCTTATAATTGCTTTTTCATTCAACTTTACCTAAATTCTTACACTATTACAACACCAAACTCAAGACAACATGTGCCTGCATGCTAGTTTTGACTCACACTTTGCATGTAGATTCATCTATCCTATTAAAAAAGCCGTAATTTTTTAATTAAAATGCTGCACGTGACCAAGTGTATTTTCTTCAAGTTTTTTTTCCCCTTCATTAATTGAAATACCCTTTTGCCCTAGTTGATTTCAGAAAGTCTTGCCATGTGAAGAATGCCTTTTCTAAAGTCCAAATGTAGTCGTAATTAATATGAGGTCATGTACACTCACCGGCCACTTTATTAGGTACACCTGTCCAACTGCTCGTTAACACTTAATTTCTAAGCAGCCAATCACATGGCGGCAACTCAGTGCATTTAGGCATGTAGACATGGTCAAGACAATCTCCTGCAGTTCAAACCGAGCATCAGTATGGGGAAGAAAGGTGATTTGAGTGACTTTGAACGTGGCATGATTGTTGGTGCCAGAAGGGCTGGTCTGAGTATTTCAGAAACTGCTAATCTACTGGGATTTTCACGCACAACCATCTCTAGGGTTTACAGAGAATGGTCCGAAAAAGAAAAAACATCCAGTGAGCGGCAGTTCTGTGGGCGGAAATGCCTTGTTGATGCCAGAGGTCAGAGGAGAATGGCCAGACTGGTTCGAGCTGATAGAAGGGCAACAGTGACTGAAATAACCACTCGTTACAACCGAGGTATGCAGCAAAGCATTTGTGAAGCCACAACACGCACAACCTTGAGGCGGATGGGCTACAACAGCAGAAGACTCCACCGGGTACCACTCATCTCCACTACAAATAGGAAAAAGAGGCTACAATTTGCAAGAGCTCACCAAACTTGAACAGTTGAAGACTGGAAAAATGTTGCCTGGTCTGATGAGTCTCGATTTCTGTTGAGACATTCAGATGTTAGAGTCAGAATTTGGCGTAAACAGAATGAGAACATGGAACCATCATGCCTTGTTACCACTGTGCAGGCTGGTGGTGGTGGTGTAATGGTGTGGGGGATGTTTTCCTGGCACACTTTAGGCCCCTTAGTGCCAATTGGGCATCGTTTAAATGCCACGGCCTACCTGAGCATTGTTTCTGACCATGTCCATCCCTTTATGGCCACCATGTACCCATCCTCGGATGGCTACTTCCACCATGTCACAAAGCTCTAATCATTTCAAATTGGTTTCTTGAACATGACAATGAGTTCACTGTACTAAAATGGCCTCCACAGTCACCAGATCTCAACCCAATAGAGCATCTTTGGGATTTGGTGGAACGGGAGATTCGCATCATGGATGTGCAGCCGACAAATCTGCGGCAACTGTGTGATGCCATCATGTCAATATGGACCAAACTCCCTGAGGAATGCTTCCAGCACCTTGTTGAATCTATGCCACGAAGAATTGAGGCAGTTCTGAAGGCAAAAGGGGGTCCAACCCGTTACTAGCATGGGGTACCTAATAAAGTGGCCGGTGAGTGTATAATGTATAAAAGGACTGGAAAAACGTTGTTTGAAATAGTTTTAGATTGAGTAATCATGCCAGAATGCAGGACACTGCTTGAAATGTCAGGGCAAATACTGATTGCTGAGTGATATTAATGAACAACTTGAACTCAATGTGCAAATATTTTGTGAGCTGCTTGTTCTTGCGTTGGTAATTATTTATAGCGACATGCAATATGTCTAACAAAGACATCAAGCACATTGCCAAAGTTTAGAGACAGAGCATCATAAATACACTCACCTAAAGGATTATTAGAAACACCTGTTGAATTTCTCATTAATGCAATTATCAACCAATTACATGGCAGTTGCTTCAATGCATTTAGGGGTGTGGTCCTGGTCAAGACAATCTCCTGAACTCCAAACTGAATGTCAGAATGGGAAAGAAAGGTGATTTAAGCAATTTTGAGCGTGGCATGGTTGTTGGTGCCAGACGGGCCGGTCTGAGTATTTCACAATCTGCTCAGTTACTGGGATTTTCACACACAACCATTTCTAGGGTTTACAAAGAATGGTGTGAAAAGGGAAAAACATCCAGTATGCGGCAGTCCTGTGGGCGAAAATGCCTTGTTGATGCTAGAGGTCAGAGGAGAATGGGCCGACTGATTCAAGCTGATAGAAGAGCAACTTTGACTGAAATAACCACTCGTTACAATCAGTGTTGGTCAAGTTACTTGGAAATAGTAATTAGTTACTGATTACTTCTCCAAGAAAGTAATCCAGTTACTTTACTGATTACTTATTTTCAAAAGTAATTAGTTACTTTACTAGTTACTTTACTAAGTTACTTTTCAAAAACATGAGTGCACGATGGTCACGACCTGAATACGCTATAAAGCGTAGTGAGACCTTTCAGCCTAATTCTATTCTTTCTGCATATTCCATCATCTAAAATTTAATCAAATGAAACACTCTCTTTTTTTAAACTTGTTTTATTAGTTTCAATATTTTAACTTTATGCACATTGCATCAAGCAAAAATTAAATTAAATGCAACAGTCTCAGACTTTTGATGATCATTTAAACCTATTTTCTGCACATTCCACCATATTTTAATGAAATAAAGAAAGTCCTTCTTCTGTTAACTTATATTTCTGCATATTCCAGCATATAAAATAAATATATTTTTTGTAAAATCCTTCATTCGAATAGATGTAAATAAAATACAGCAATAAAATAATTAAAATGAAAGTCTCTCCTGACTGTATTCCAAATTATTAACACTTACGTATTTTAACAGTATAGCCTAAAGTGCAGAGAGGAGTAAAAATGAGTTTACCAAAACAGCCATGTCATGTCAGTTGGGGGTTCAGGTTTTTTTCCAGTAAGTTTCACATTCCTGTGCCGGCTTGCTAGGTGCTTGCTCAGATTTGAGGTGGAATTTTGACATTCTCCAACGGGGGGTCCTGTTTCTAGATCAGGATGCTCTCTGCACACGCAAGGTCTCTCGCTCGCTCGCTCTCCCTCTCTGCGGGTGCGCGCGCTACGCGGTCTCTGTCTAGCATACACGCTCGCTCTAGATTCCGGGAGATTTGAACTAATTTGCGGTATAACTAGTCGATCACTATTGGCTCAACAGGTAGATCTATAGATAAACTCATCTTTCAGGCATTTGACCGACCGGGTTAACACTTCAGCGTGAGAAATCGGGGGTGATGCGTGTGAGACCATCAAATGCGTGTCTCTCTCCCGCGCTCCATGTTGTCTCTTGTTCAACACTACACATTTCGGTGTTTACCACTGACGTCGCGGCGCTCAAACGTCATTGTCACTCACGCACGACTCATGGCACGAGACAGTCTCACGAAACAAAATGATGGTTAACTAACGCAGTAAGGCAGCCTGCTTACGGGAAAGTAACAGTAATCTAATTACTGTTTTTGCAATTGTAATCCCTTACTTTACTCGTTACTTGAAAAAAGTAATTGGATTACAGTAACGCGTTACTTCTAACGCGTTACTGCCCATCAGTGGTTACAACCGAGGTATGCAGCAAAGCATTTGTGAAGCCACAACACGCACAACCTTGAGGCGGATGGGCTACAACAGCAGAAGACCCCACCGGGTACCACTCATCTCCACTAGAAATAGGAAAAAGAGGCTACAATTTGCAAGAGCTCACCAAAATTGGACAGTTGAAGACTGGAAAAATGTTGCCTGGTCTGATGAGTTTCGATTTCTGTTGAGACATTCAGATGGTAGAGTCAGAATTTGGCGTAAACAGAATGAGAACATGGATCCACCATGCCTTGTTACCACTGTGCAGGCTGGTGGTGGTGGTGTAATGGTGTGGGGGATGTTTTCTTGGCACACTGGAGGCCCCTTAGTGCCAACTGGGCATTGTTTAAATGCCACGGCCTACCTGAGCATTGTTTCTGACCATGTCCATCCCTTTATGGCCACCATGTACCCATCCTCTGATGGCTACTTCCAGCAGGATAATGCACCATGTAACAAAGCTCGAATCATTTCGAATTGGTTTCTTGAACATGACAATGAGTTCACTGTACTAAAATGGCCCCCACAGTCACCAGATCTCAACCCAATAGAGCATCTTTGGGATGTGGTGGAACGGGAGCTTCGTGCCCTGGATGTGCATCACAAATCTCCATCAACTGCAAGATGTTATCCTATCAATATGGGCCAACATTTCTAAAGAATGCTTTCAGCACCTTGTTGAATCAATGCCATGTAGAATTAAGGCAGTTCTGAAGGCGAAAGGGGGTCAAACACAGTATTAGTATGGTGTTCCTAATAATCCTTTAGGGGAGTGTATATGAATGTGAAATCTGAATTTGTCCAGGAACCCTGCAGAAAAGTTTGTCCACCCTTGATGTGCGGGATCCAAAATCAGGCAAATTTCCAGACAATAGCATATAGTCTATGAACTCACAGTTTCCGACGTTAAACGGATGAATCAGTGGGGTTTGCAATGACATACAACATATGCAGTTTATAATCGCTTTACAGTTAAACTGCTGTAGACAGAGAATGTTTTTCTAAGGCCCACAGTGAGTTATTTTAATAAAGTGACCTTGTTTTATAAATATTTTCCAAAAAGTTTTGGAGTATTAACCATGGAAAGATTTTTTTTTTTCTGACCAAAGAAACAGCTGGAATTTTGAATGAAGAAATAATTAAAATCAGATTTGAATGAGATCTCTTGCAGTGAGTTGTGCTGGAGTCCAGTGCATACTCTCTTATTTTTTATTTCTGGATTGATTTATGAGCAGCCTATGTGTGTGTAATATGGTTGATTTTTCAGATTGATTGATGTTCTGCTGATACTGGGGTGAAGATGTCGGTCAGGCGTTTGGCAGCGGCCGCTCTCTTAACACTCACAGTACTGACATCAGTGAGAGCTCAAGGTAAAAAAGCCATCAAATCTGTCCCCATTCACCCTGTTAAATTAAAAATACTTTATTCCAACAGTTTATATCATAGTCTATTGTTTCTAAAAAATATATAAATAATAACTGTACTATAACGTTTGTCTCTATAAGTGTGTTCAATATTTTTCAATTTACATTCAATCTCCAAAAATAGAGAAGAAAAATAGTTTCTGCTAATGTAGTTGTGCATTTGTGTCGTGTCTCTAAGTGTTGTGTCTCTTTTTAGACACTAGATCGAGGAATTTTACTCTCCTATAAGATTTGTTTTAAACAATTTGCGGTTTTAATGCTAGTTGAAATAGAAATGCATGACAGGACAGGATATTTCATTTGATCTAACTGTGTTTTTCAGCAACTTCTTCAAGAGTATCAACTGTAATATATTTCAATTGCAAATTATAGGATAGAACATGTAAGGCCAATCCAGCAAATGTTTAGTATTGAATATTACTTGGTTTTAAATATTTTCCATATGCAACTTAAGACCCACGATCATTTGCTGGATACCAGATATCTCAGCCAGACAGATTCACGTTCAACTTTTATTTCTCTAGTAAAACACTTTTTCATTTATTTAAGTATTTACAGTATATCGTTCAGTAACCGAGCTCTTTGTAGGTTTGAACAGTCTTAGAGGTATTAAAACTGTGACTTAACCCTATCAAATCATTGAATAAATGACAGGGTGTTAAAGCGCACATTGCCAGAGTTCAGTGGAAAGTATAGTGGAACATTTTACAGTTTTTATTGTACAAAAAAAAAACATGTGGAGGCCAAGTTTCCCTTCCCCACTTTCCGCACTCTTAGAGAACAAAAAGACAAAATATGAGCTTTATTTTTTTTTTCTTAGGAAAGAGAGGGCAAGAAGTGTGTTACTTCTCAATGCTGTAGTATGTAAAATAAGACAATTCTTAGTTTAAACATGTTCCACTGATATAAAATACAAACAAATACCTTAACCAACGTTATCACTTTCTTATATGAAATGGTTAGCATAGCAAAATAAATGTTGTTAAATGATCTTCGAAGTTTTTTTGCACCAAAACTGGTTTGGGTTGTGTGGACCCAAAAAAAGAAAGAAAAAATCTAGAATGGGTGATGAATCGGTGTGAGTTAGCGGTTGTGTTGGACCCTTTTGGAGTCAGAAATGGAACCGATTGTGACATCTGGTCAGCCAGGTTGGTAAATCTTGATTTTGGCGAACCTGTTCCCGGTCAAGCTTAAGCCCTGGTCAAAATTTGACCAGAGCCGCAGCTTCACAAAATATTTTATTGTGATATTCTGAGATGCACACACAAACTCTATGTTCCACACAGACACTGACTTTTCAAACACAATACAACACAAAATACCATAAGAATATCACTTTAAAATATTTCAAAGTCCTCTACGTGTGCGTCTTGTACATGAAATCCTTTTAAGCCCACAAGTTGTTGCAGACAACTTTTCATGTACAAGTGCATGAGTCTTCTAGTTCATCTAGACTGGTGCAATGTTACGTAACCTCTTTTCGTTTATATATTCACTTGTTTGTCACTATCCTGTATTTTCTTATTAAAGGTTGTCACCCTTTTAAGCGGTTTGCAATGGAAAGTGATCACATTAATGCAGTTGCACATAAAATGTTACCCATTATTGTCAACTTTCAAGTCCATTGTACAATCACCACTTCTTGTCTATCTGTGACGTCAACTATTGACACAGTTCAACACAGCTCTTCTGGCTGTGTTGGGTTGACTGGATTGACTGCATGCACGTCACAAGTTATGGCCTGATGTAATGTTCTGTCGAGGTCTTTGTGGAACGCGCTTTACGTGTCTATGCTTGAGTAGTCAATGGCCCTACGGTCAGACAGCTCAAACAGATGTCATTTTTACCCAAAATGGCCGCCGTCCACGTTTGTTTCATGTTGCCTTGAGTCCTTGCCCAACAATGAACTTCACTGTTGGGATTTCGTCCATAAACCTGTATGCTCTTCTCATAAATACAGCTTTTGGAATGGTTTCTTGGAAATAACTTGATTCACCTCCTCTTTCCACAGTAATGCCTCCATCAGACTTGAGGTTTAAGATTTTAAATGAAAACACAGTGCAAATGATATGGAAGCATCCGCTGTCAAGGACCGAGGGCTTCAGAGTACAAGTGACATCGGATACAGGTTGGTGAAACGGTGAAAGCACCAAACGTGTTGGAATTATAACGGCAAGCAACATGAAACATTTGCTAGGTTTTATGTCAGTGACGTGTTTCGGACTGGAAATTGATATTCAACAAGGAAAAAGAAGTGACAGAACTCATTTTTATCAATTGCCAATTGACTGGATTCTGAATAAGTTGGCACTCCATACCAGAAATTTTGTAGTATGAAAGAAAACTCATGTCGGCTAACATTAAGTGTTATTCAGACATGCAAGGGTTGTTTTTTTGATCTACTGCCACTGAGTCCATGAGAGAAGCACTTAACCTACGGTTACTCATGGGGAACCGTAGTAAGTGTACCTTATGTTGCTTGAGATAAGAAAGCATCTGGTAAATGACAAGTAACCTTTAAACTCACTGCCACAGGCAACTCTCGGGAAATGCGTTCTGGCGTGCCCTTCAAAAAATGATTTAAACATGGACCGTTACTCATCGCTTGTCTTGGGAAGTCATTAATGTTTCCCTAATCTAGGTCTTGTGTGTCTAGACTAGATTTATCTACTTATAAATGAAGGCTGGCTTGGTATTATCTTCATGTAGAATGTATATCATGATATGACATTTAAACATTGAAGATGCAATGTTCCCTTCTGCCTGTAGAAGAGCCTGTTAAGGAATTCACACTTCCTCCAACCTCGACCAAAACCTCCATCAGAGATTTGACCCCCGATGTGGATTATGTTGTTACGATAATTTCGTATTTTGGTTCAGAGGTCAGATTACAAGTAAGTGGCAGGGCATCTTATTCTTTAAATATGTCATATAGGGATCCCATGGTCATGTAAGCCTGGAAGTCTGAGAGAATTTTTAAGTTGTGATTTGGAAAAAAAATGTGGATTTGAAATACAAAAATTCTGTTACACTCTGTACACTCTAAAATTGTTGTTATGTTCAACTATAAGATATTTACTTGACTAGAAATGGCTTTTTGTGATTGCAATCTCTATAAAACAGAGTGGAGAAAGCATGGAAATTGATTGGCCAAAGGGTGTGGGAACCCTGTTAATGGAAGGAATACTTTTGCCTTAATATTTATTGATGTATTGTTTTCTGTTTTAGTCCAATCAAGCAGTATTGGAGGAGGTACCAGGAAACCTCAGGTCTCAAATTCAGTCAGTAAGTACACACCTCCAGGCTCTTTCCATTGCTTCTGTGGTCTCTACATTTTATTGGGAGTTTCCATTGTAGTCAGTACGCAAATGTGTGTATGCCTTTCTTTCTTTCCGAATTTATGTTTCTTGTAAGAATGCCTCGCACGTCCTGTGGCTCGTGCCGAGCCCCGCTCAGATGAGCCCCATGTGATTTGCGCTCTCTGCCTGGGCCCGGACCACGCAGCCCTCGCTCGTCGGGAGGCTGCGTCTACTGTGAGGAACTATCTATGTTGACCCTGGTGGCTCGTCTAGACCTCTTAACGGCAAAGCTGTCACTCCGCCATCTGCTGGACCGCGCAAGAAGAAGCGCAGTGCACAGAGACTGCCGGAGCCTGATATGGCACTCAAACGCTCGCCGGAACGACTCCCTCGAGCATTTCTCTCTCCTTTCCCGCCCCCCCCCCCCCCCCCTCTCGGACGCGCAGCCGCCGGCTCCCGCCCGCCCGCGCTGCCGCCGCCTCAGGAGATGAGGCGCTTGATATGGATGAGGACGCGCCGCTAACAGCTGTTCTAATCGTGGCTAGCTTCTCTACGTACGAGAAAGCTATCCCGCCCCCGCGCCCCAGGCGCATGCGTATCTCACCGGCGGAAAAAGGAAGAGTGTTTTAGTCCCGCCTAGGCCGGACTAACCCCTATTTCTCAATATTGCAGCTATGAGCCTGTTATATAACATGCACTCCTGCAAACTAACGCCGACACAAAGCTGTGATGACGCTCTCTTATCTGCTCGCGCTAGCTTAAGCTTACGTTGTTTCCCCTGTGGCTCACTGGTGAAACCCTAAGCTTTCGCGCCAGAGACCCGTGTTCGAATCCCGGCTCTGGCAGCAGATAAAATTTATGCGGCACTCCTCTCTGAGCTTGCGGACAGTTTTTCTTATGTACAGAAAGCACTGTTTAGAGCCGTGGCCGGATCGCCGTCAAACTATCTCGCCCTGTCAGTCCCCCTGGAAAGGGCTACTGCAGTGGAGTATTTGGCAGCCAACGAGTCGGTAATGTTACCCGCTTGCCTGCACACAACCGCCGTTTTTACGGCAGCCCAGAGAAATCTCAGAAGAGTGTAATGTCTGGTTATCCGGCTCACGCCGTTGGTGTTTCAAGTGTAGAAAAAGTGCCCACGTCTCAGTGTTCACCCCTACACACAACCACTGTACCCCCCGTGTCTCTCACGCTCGCAGAGCCCACTCTCATAAAGCTGGCAAATGCCGCTTGAGTGTTAGATGCAGGTATCGTGCCCACAACCTTGTGTTCACGCCCATCCTCTGCTTGCTCTGTCACATGGCTAAAACACTCTCATATGGGTCAGTCTATGAGCGTAAGTCGCGTGCCCGCTCACGCTTACAAACAGACACACCGCCTTCGGCGCCGCTCGCACATCACAATATTTTCACAAACCGTTCCCCATTCGTAGCAATCGGGACGTCTCACGTGACACAGCCAGCTGCTGCTGTCAGCGAGCCGCCGTGTCCAGGCTCTCATATCTGTCAAGCTATGAATGTAAGTCGCGTGCCCGCTCACGACACCAGACACACCGCCTCCGGCGCCGCTCGCACACTACAAGTGCTCACTCGACGTTCCCCATTCAAAGCAATCGGGTCGTCATATATGAAACAGCTAGTCACTGCTGGTTATCCGGCTCACGCCGCTGGTGTTTTAAGTGTAGAGATTGTGCCCACGCCCCAGTGTTCACCCCTACACACAAGCACTATAACTCATATGTCCTTCATGCCCACAGAGCCCACTCTCATAAAGCTGGCAAATGCCGCTCGAGTGTTAGATGTAAACATCGCGCCCGCGAACCAGCCCAAGCGGCTGTCAGCGAGCCACTTTGTTCAAGCACCGAGGGCGCGCACGCCGCGCCCACGTCTCCGTTCAGTTCCCAAAGCCCACAGTATGCGGCGACTGGGACCCGGAGGCCATTCTCCCCCTAGCCACACATGCACAAGCATGGGAAGCCATTCCAGGGGTTTCAGAGTGGGTGCTAAGCACAAAAAGACAGGGCTATGCACTACAGTTCGCTCGCCGTCCCCCGCGTTTTCACGCTCAGACCGAGTCGACAGTGAACGCGAAAGTGGCACATCTACTCCATGCAGAAATAGCCAAACTGCTGTGCAAAGGAGCTATAGAACCGGTGCCGCCTTCTCTGAGCGAGTCAGGCTTTTACAGTCGTTATTTTCTCGTACCGAAGAAGGACGGAGGCCTGAGGCCTATATTAGATCTGAGATTTTTGAACAAAGCTCTCATGTCGAGACCGTTCAAAATGATTACAACCAGGCAGATTCTCGCGCAAATTCGCCCGAGGGACTGGTTTATATCTCTCAATCTGAAAGACGTGTATTTTCAGATACAGATTATACCCCGTTACAGGCCATTCTTGAGATTCGCCTTCGACGGCCAGGTATATCAGTACACCGTCCTCTCGTTCGGCCTGTCCCTGGCACCCCGTACATTTACGAAGTGCATGGACGCGGCGCTTGCCCCCCTCAGATGTCAGGGTGTGCGAATTCTGAACTACTTGGACGATTGGCTGATTCTAGCACAGTCAGAGATAGAGCTCGTATCTCACAGAACTATGCTACTCAGTCACTTGGAAAGATTGGGTCTCACGGTCAACTGGACCAAGAGCTCATTACGGCCCAGCCAGTCAATCTCTTTTTTAGGGATGGAACTGGACTCCGTGGCTATGAAGGCTCAGCTGTCGACAGAGCGCGCGCGCGCCGTGTTCGACACCTAGCCGCATCTTTCCAGAAGGGCAGAACCGCCTCCCTGAAAAAATTTCAGAGGATGCTGGGCTGTATGGCCTCAGCTGCAGCAGTGCTTCAGCTGGGCTTACTGCGCATGCGCCCGCTACAACGCTGGTTGAACGCCCGCGTACCCCATCAGGGGTGGACGCGCGGCTACAAGCGGATCAGGATATCTCAGAGCTGCACTTCAGCTCTGCAGCCCTGGTTAGCGGCCAATCGGTACCAGCAGGGGGTGACAAGGGGAGCGATTTCCCACTGGAAAATCATCTCGACAGACGCCTCCAACTCGGGTTGGGGCGGCCTTTTCGAGGGCAGACCGGTCTTTGGCCTGTGGTCAGACCGAGAGAAATGCCTTCACATAAACTGTCTGGAGATGCTGGCGGTCGAGAACGCGCTGAAGCGCTTCCTCCCGTTCATACAGGACCAACACGTTCTAGTCCGCTCGGACAACATGTCGGTTGTGTCCTACGTGAACCGCCAGGGCGGTGTCAGATCCAGAAGCCTCTGCGATCTGGCAGAATGCCTCCTCGTTTGGGCCTAGTGCTTCCTGCGCTTGCTGAGAGCGACGCACGTGCCAGGGATCCTGAACGAAGGACCGGACAGATTGTCCAGGGACAATATTCCCCCCGGGGAGTGGTCTTTACACCCCCAAACAGTCCAGCTGTTATGGCGCCTCTTTGGCAGAGCGGAAGTCGACCTATTCGCGTCAAAGGACAACGCTCATTGCCCAGTGTTATTTTCAAAGAACGAGGATGCGCTGGCCCAACTCTGGCCCAGCCGTCCGCTATATGCCTTCCCTCCGATCTCTATGTTACCACAGGTAAACAAGAGAATCAGGGAGAACCAAACCTGGTTCCCGGAACTAACACGGCTGTCACACACAGCCCCGTGGCCGATTCCGGTGAGGAGGAACCTCCTCTCTCAAGCCTGCGGCTCGTTCTGGCATCCCCACCCAGAGCGATGGTCTCTGCACGTGTGGTTGATCAACGGATACCCGTTATCCTGCCAGAAGGAGTTATGAACACGATCACGCAATCTAGAGCCCCCTCTACGAGACGGCTTAATGCGTCTAAATGGTCTGTGTTCTCCAAATGGTGCACCGACAAAAATCTGGACCCCAGAACGGGTGAGGTTTCGCAGGTGCTCGGTTTCCTTCAAGAGCTGCTGGATAAGGGCAAGTCCCCATCCACGCTTAAAGTATACGTGGCGGCCGTCACAGCCTTCGCTGAGTCGAAGCAAGGCCGGTCGCTAGGAAGGAACGAGCTGGTCATCCGCTTCTTGAGAGGAGCCAGAAGGATGAATCCTCCGCACCCACCTTCGGTTCCTATTTGGGATCTCTCCGTGGTCCTAGAGGCCCTAAAGATGCATCCCTTCAAACCATTAGATTCAACGAATCTAAAATACCTCTCGCTCAAAACTGTTTTTATTTTGGCTCTGTCATCAGTTAAACGTGTGGGGGACTTACACGCTCTATCTGTTAGCGCAGCGTGCCTTGAGTTTGACTCTAAAGTCATCCTCAAACCGAGACATGGCTATGTCCCGAAGGTGATTGGCACTGCCTTCAGAGCGCAGGTCATTTCTCCGTCGGCTCTGCCAGCATCCGACAGCGTGAGCAGTGACAGCCTCCTCTGCCCTGTCAGGGCACTGAGAGCTTACGTTACGCGCTCCGCCCCCTTCAGACGCTCCGAGCAGCTCTTTGTTTCATTTGGCGGGCGCACCAAAGGTCTCGCCGCCTCGAAACAGTCCCTAACCAGATGGATAGTGGACGCGATTTCTACTGCCTACGCGTCAAAAGGTCTGCAATGCCCTCTGGGCATCAGGGCTCATTCCACAAGAGGCATGGCCTCATCGTGGGCATGGTCCAGTGGAATTTCCATTCACAACATCTGTATGGCGGCGGGCTGGGACTCCCCGTCTACATTTGTGAGATTCTATAATCTGGAAGTTCCCGGTTATTATACATGTACATGCAGCCCGGCGCCGCCGCTCTGCATTCCCCATGGGTGCTTATGTTTATACATGTGTCGGCCCGCTTGCTGACCGCCTGAATTTCCCACTTTCAATGTTCCCCGGGTTGGGACTCATAGAGTGGATGCTGGGCGCGCACGGCGTTGACAAAGTGTTCCCGTAGCGTAAGCTAAACTTACGCAATACGCGAGAACTTTTCGTAAGAGAACGTACTCGGTTACCTAACGTAACCTCGGTTCTCTCTAGAGAGGGAACGAGTATTGCGTAACCGGCCGTGCTAAGCGCCACGAGCGATTTTCACTTCAGATCATGAAAACCAGGGAAGCAGCCTCTGAGCCCCGCTTTTATATGCTAAGCCAACCCCCTTGCGCGGGCTGTTACGTGTAGTGGGCGCGAAGCGCCACCATTGGACGTGACGTCACGCCAGGCTCACTGGTAGGCTGCTGTAGTTGCCGCAAGGCAGCCAATGAGCACGCTAGACAGCCTGCTCTAGGTCTGCAGCTGCTGCACTGCGTTGACAATATATACAAAATTAAGGATAATTTTGGCTTCAATATCTCGAGCAAAGATGAACTTTACCCGTAGCGTAAGCTAAACTTACGCAATACTCGTTTCCTCTCTAGAGAGAACCGAGGTTACGTTAGGTAACCGAGTACGTTTTCCAGTACAAGTATCTAAAAATTCTTAAATCAAGATGCATTTACTCAAGAAGTAAAATAACAGAAGTTTAAGTTTAAAACAAGAACAATACCGGCCAATGGGGTCTTTGTGTGAACTTAATTCAAAGGGAAAACAAGATACCCCCAATTAGTAGATATTTTGCCTTGTTTTTTCCAAGCGGCAACATTCTAATCTGAAAAATGAAGCCTACCCGGAAGTGCGAAAAACTGCAATACATGTAAAATCCGCTAGGGGCAGGTCCCAAAAGGGAGCAAATGTCCATAGACACCCATGTTAAAATGTCCGTTTTCACAGCATAAATTCATGTTCTTACAGGTTGGTCCCATGGACTTTTTTTATTGTATTTTTCGATAGGTTCCGAGTGCCTGACAACTGTGAGGGGGGTGAATTTTTTTTCTAACTCGTTAGTTTATCCACCTTATTCCTGACAAGCTTACTGCGTTTTGAATTATGGGCGGCACTTCCGGTTTGGGGAACTTCCATTCAAAAAGACTGAAACGAATCATTTCAAATCATAAGGCTGCCCTACAAATAAACCTGATCCGTCAGTTTGACTTAATGAGCAATCAGTTTTCTTTCATGTTTTATCTAAGAATAACATGAGAATAACGTAACACTTGGTATTTTAACGTGACATGTTATAACAAGAATATCCATAGTAAGAGCTCTGCATTCTTTTCCTCATGATTATTTTATTTTTTCCTTTTGAATTCCGCTGTAATAGTATGACAAAGGTCAACACATACTGCACATTTGTGGTCTGTTCTCCCGATTTAATTTACGATGTATACCATTAATAATTCACTGGAATCCTCTCCAAATCCTCACGTCTCTTTCCAGGTTTGGTTTCACAGGTAAATACAGTTTATTATCTGTCAAAATGACTGAAATCACTTTAAAATAGTATCACGAAATGCTGAAGTAAAACACTTTTTTATTAAGGCAACGTATGTTACATAATACAGCTTACCACAGTGATATTTAACCGACCGATTTAGCTGTGGAAAGATGCTTTTGAGATTATGCATGGTCTGTTGAAAGTTACCTTGTTGATGCTTTTACACTTTTAAATGTCCTTTTAATGTTCAATGGTTGAAGGGTGAGTAGAATAATGTAATATCATCGTAAAAGGTTTAAAAATCTATTATTGCGTCCATAGAGCTTAGTCTTTCACTGATTGTTTACAGCTTAACGGAAGTTACGCCCATAATTCGCGCAAAGCGTCATGGGGCGCAGGAATACTGTGGATATCGTATTTAGATATAAAATGAATGACAAATAAGGGTGTGGTTAACTTTGATTGACAGCTTGATTGACAGCAGATAACGGGCTGCGCCGAGTGGAATTCCTGAAATTTGATGTCTCGGCCATGATCTGACACAACACATCACACCACCTCTGTATCCTTTCTGAAAAGATTTTCCAAGATGGCGCCGCCCATACCCCCCATAAACGGCCTCAAAACCGTTCTTCAGAAAGTCTTTGGGTGATGTCACAGACGCTTTGTCCATATTTTTTACAGTCTATGGTTTTAACCAAAGGCTCACTTCATTTAGATTTTTTAGAAAACAGGACTTAATATCATTTTGCGTCTCAGGTAAATGTGTCTTGATTTAAGAATGTTATATATTTGTACTAGAAATACAAAAACACTGAGGAAGAAATGTTTTTTCCAGTGTAGGGTTATGAATTGAAACAAAGCCCTAAACTTAAAGTGTTAAATGACACTTTACATTAATGATTCTTTCAAATTGTTCCACATTGTGATCAAACAAGATTTTCACCTCGTGAACGATAAAACGGACAAAAAAACAACACCACATAGACTTACATTGAAAGAGGGACCATATCAAGAGACCAGAATCACAATATTCAGACTTTTGGCTTGGGTCCAGTAATCAACCAACGAGCAACTGCATAGCAACGTGTTAAAAACACACTAAACACCTTAGCAACTGCATAGCAGTTTCCTGATAAAAATACCCAGAGCACTTTAGCGTCATTCAAGTCACATACTATTTACATTAAATATACAAATCTAGTTGCATAGAATTTGACCGTATGAAATACAAAGTAAAGTATGCCCATAGTGATTGCAGTGTTTTTGCGGTATTTTGTAGCTGGATTGTGTTAGCATGTGCTGATATCGCCGCCTTCTCTTCATCCTACAGTGTCACCATATAAAGCCCCAAGAAACCTATTGACCTCTGAACCCACCAAAACCAGTTTCCGTGTGTCCTGGGACCCTGCTCCCGGTGATGTACGAGGGTACAAAGTCACTTTCCATCCCAGCGGAAATGATATTGATCTAGGAGAACTTCTTGTTGGACCATACGACAACACGGTTGTTTTAGAAGTACTCAGGTAATGTTTAGCATCAAATTTAGATGCTTTTCTCAATGCAATGATGCTAATCATACTTGTTTTAAGATGGCACATATGGTTTCAGTTTCGTTCTTCTTTCACAGAGCTGGAACTAAATACTCCGTGGCTGTTTTTGGCATGTTTGATGGAGGTCAAAGTATGCCGTTGGCCGGGGAGGAGAAGACCACCCTTTCTGATACACCTATCAACGAAACACCTGTTGACTTCTCCGGTATAATCTCAGCACATCATTCTAAGACATCGTGTTTATAGTATGTTCTTAGCATGCACTTTCTGTTGAAGTGCTTAGGTTAGGCCTCAAGAACTACAAAAAAAACCAGGAAGAATGATTGCAATACAGCATCATATGAATCAAGATGAGTCAATGAGGTATTAGTACAGTACAGATATTATAAATAATATAAACAATGTTATAGTAAATAAGATGATAAATATAAAATGCAAATATGTAGCAAATAAAAAATGAGTAATATTATGGATAATAAAATATGTTAATAATATATTAATAAGGCAAGGCAAGGCAAGTTTATTTATATAGCACATTTCATACACAATGGTAATTCAAAGTGCTTTACATAGAAGAAATTAAAATAATCAAAACAAATAAGAATAATTAAAACAGTTTAGAATAAAAAATAAAGTACAGTAAAAACAGTTGGACGAACAGTGGCACAGTGCTCATTCAGTAAATGCATAGCTAAACAGATGTGTTTTGAGTCTGGATTTGATACATTATTAAATATACATTATTAATATTATAAAAAAACAAATATGTAACAATAAAAAATATGAATAATAATCAATTTAATTATTGAATATTATAATATTATTATAAATAGATTCATATTATTTTCTAAGAATACTGTATCTCACAATTGATTTTCACATTCCCTTTCTAATGTACAAATTATTGATAAATTATTTTAAATGTACTGACACAAAATCGGGTTAAAAATAAAAAACAAACAATTTTATTTCTTTTATGATGACATGCCACCAAATGTTATCATGTAACTTCTAGATTCTTTAAGAAGCGTCTTTCAATGCTAGATTTAAAATAATTGAATGGGATTGTTCTGATGAAGAAAAGTGTACAAATAGACTGTTTTTATGGCGAGATCAAGCGTATGGTTTGAAGTTGTGGGCTCAAAGCCTTTGGCAGCAACAGTGTCTTGAGTTAGATTCTGGCAGCTACTGGCCGGCAGTTTAAAGACTTGAGAGTAGTCTTAACGTGAAAGACTTTCCAGAGGTGAAGTTGTACAGCAGTGAGGAGTTAAGCAGCAGATGCAGCGAGGATGATGGGAGTGTGCTGCAGGAGTTTAGTCGTGAAACGACCACAGCAAAGGTCACGTGAGAGCAGTTTTCCACATGTGTCACTGCAAACTACCCCAAACCACTGGTCTGGTCAAGAAGGATGTCTGCAAGGTTCAACATATAATCAAAATTAACCCTGTTTATGTTCCTTATACTTGTTACATTATTACATGGTTTATCAGAAAATTAAACATTCCAAAGGAAAAAAATGTCTAGAATATTTCATCAAAATGCAACAACTTGCTCAGTTTCTGAAATCACTTTCCTTTTCAACTGACCTCATCTAGGTCATTCAGAATATCGAGTGGTGTTAACCTATGGACTAATATCTGTTTAGTCTTTATTTTAGGATGTTGTTGTTGGCATGTACGAGATTTGACCGAATGTGTGTGTCTCTCCCATTTTTTAGCAGTTCATGGAAAAAATGCTCTGTTTTCAGTTAGGCACTATTTCACTGAGGAGAGAGAGAAAGTCACAGAATAGCACAAGTTTAGGAAAGTTTCTTTGCTCTCCATCGCTGTCTGCAGGCGTTTTTTCAGACTAAACTAACAGTGGTAAAATGGATCATACCAGTTTATGGCTTTACATGCTGTTTTTTGAACATTTATTACTTTTTTAAATTAATATTTTATATATTATTTTTAAGCCAATTTGTTTTTAATTTAATTGTATTTAATTTTATTAAATTTATTATTATTTTTTTTTAAAACCAAACTGGTTTACAGGTTGAAACCTCCTGGACCAGCTAGAAACCATGTAAAACTAAATACAATCAGCTAGTGCCTCATTTTTATATATCTTTAATGTATGAGCATATGTGTGTAAATAATCAATTTCACAAGATATTTCTCACTTGCAGACCATGTGTGATGGTGTCCAGTGAGATCACCAGTGTCAGTTTGGGGTCTCTTCTCACCCTCTATAGGTATCTGGAGCTCCACACGTTCTACCGATGTGGAATGTGCAAAAGAGATGAAGCTCGTATTTCATGCATCACAAAGGGCTACTTCTTTTCTCTGTAGAACAGAAGCAATAACAATTCCAGGAAAACTCCCTCCAGGGCCAGGTGCCAAAGGGGATTTGGATACAATGCAAGACTGAAGATTCAAAGGAGAAAAGTAGAAATTGAATGGAAAGAGTCTGTAGCTCCAAGAAATTACAGAGAAATAAAAGTCTTATCTAAAATTGTGATGTTTTGAAGTTATTGCGGTGTAAATGTGCCTTTTTATTTGCTGTGAGCATGTGTACACGTCTCTTCCCCGTTTCTCATCACTCTCTCGTTGAACTCTGCCTGCCATCAGCGAAAATACAATCACATCTCAGCTCCTCTTGGCGTTTCTCACTGTATAACTCTGGTGTGTTTTACTCACAGATGCTCAGTGTAAAACCACAGCCAAGGCTGATATCGTCCTGCTGGTTGATGGATCCTGGAGTATCGGCCGTTTGAACTTCAAAACCATCCGGGCTTTTATTGGTTGCACGGTGGGCGTCTTTGACATCGGCCCTGACAGGGTTCAAATCGGCAAGTCTTCCCTGCTTCTGTTTACTTCATGTTTTTAGATATGTTGAAGGTATATTCCTGCATCTGGACTCCAGATGTGAGCTTTATGCAGAGCTCCTTATTGAGTTATTGACAGGAACCTTTACTCTTGCATTCATAATGGCGTGTGCTTCTCTCACAGGTTTGGCTCAGTACAGCGGGGATCCCAAAACTATGTGGCATTTGAACGCTCATGCAACCCGTCAATCTCTGCAGGATGCTGTGGCCAACTTACCCTACAAAGGCGGAAATACAATGACGGGTACCGAGCTCTTACATAAGCGCTTGAAAATTGACATTACCTATGATTCTGCAAAGAAATCTCCTCCAATCAGAGAATCAAAACTAGCAAATTATACTAAAATAATACTTTAGCACCTGCCAGTGACATGATTGTCAATCTGCCCAACCTCACAAACTACTTACATAATTGTATGTATATGCATATTTTGCTAAATATTTAAAATATGTTGCTTCTTTTAATGCCAAAATTACACACTTCACCTTTAAATCAGTTTCAGAAGTGATTTGCACATAGAATACAGACAGATAAGAAATGCATGAATCCACAACAGCCATTTCTAATAGAGAAATGCAATAGATCTAATAAAATAAGGTGACAGTTCACCATTGACTGTTACGAAACCAACATGCAACTTAATGTGTTTCCAAAGGTATGGCCTTGAACTACATCCTACAGAACAACTTCAAGGCAAATGTGGGTATGAGACCCGATTCTCGTAAGATTGGTGTCCTTGTTACCGACGGCAAATCTCAGGACGAGATTGTAGTGAATTCTCAGAAACTGCGTGACTGCATTGAGCTCTATGCCATCGGTAAGTTCTTCTCTTCTTGACATTGCTGACATACTATCTATTCAGTCACAATTTACTACAATAGTTTGCATGCCAGTGATGGATACTCAACCCAGAGCTCTCCTGTGTCCAAACATCTCACAGCTTTTTATTTGGCAAGACTACAGCTTGATCAATGTCTCTTTGACCCAGCTGAAGTAATTGAGATCTTTCAATAATGATCTCTCCTCTTGGCTTCTAGGTGTGAAGAAAGCAGATGAAAATGAGTTGCGATCCATTGCCACCGACCCTGATGATATTCACATGTACAACGTCAACGACTTCTCCTTCCTGTTGGACATTGTGGACGACCTCACTGTTAACCTCTGTAACAGTGTTAAAGGCCCAGGTACAGTCAGTCACAGTCTTGACTAGTGTTTGTTTTGACTGAAAAACAATCTGTGAATCTAAACAAATCTATCCTAGTGCTGTTCTGCAGACTAGAAATAAAAAAACCAAGAACTCCCAAAGTTTGGCTCGGCTAAAACTGCTTGAACTTGTGCCATCCATTTTTGATTTGCACTCTTGTTTTCCCAGACGGTTCTTTGTTTTTTTTTACTAATAATCTTGCTGAAAAGACTGAGAGGGAAAACTGTAGGTTGCACTCCGATCCTCCTTGGGGGATCGCAGTGATTTACAGAACCATGAAACTTGTGATATATAACCCATTTAACCTTTTGCAAGAAGCTAAAAGGCCTGAGGAAGATTTATAGTCTAAGTGTAAACCTGTTTGAGAGCTGTTTGACACCACGGCTCACATTTTTCCATTGCTTTCAATGAACCAGGCGGCGGCCCAGGGACACCCACTGACCTTGTGACTTCCGAGGTCACACACTACTCTTTCCGTGCGACCTGGATGCCACCTGACAAGCCAGTGGAGAAGTTTCGCATCGAGTACGTCCCCGCCGCTGGAGGAAATACTGAAGTGGTGAGCATTAAAAACACATAAATTGTGTTCAAATGGACAAATGCATGCATGGTAGATACTTCACAGACTTTGCAACATGACATCATGACTTTGCGTAAACATACACGCCACTTTCAATTCAAGCGGCGTGTTATCTATACGCATTTTGAGCTATCCGCGTGTATGTCCACGCCGAAATCTTTTGCGTGTATGTCTACGCCATTAAATGTCCGAGTGATTCCGCGTGTATGTGTACGCCGTTAAATGTCCGAGCGAAACGAAGCAAAATCTATATCTACATCTGTGGAGCGATATTTCTTTTCCTAGGATGGTAGGAGAAGACTCATAAATGGTATTAACCCCAGTGACGGGTAGGTTTAGGGACGGGGTTGGGGTAGGTCATATATTTATATATACATAATACAGTAATATAACGTTAAGTCAAAGGCGTTGATAAACACGCTGAAAAGCGATTATGCGTGTTGATAGCACGCCAAAAATGAAAATACGAATTGGCGTGTCATACATACGCCATTTCATGAGATCAGTCTGGACTTTGAGCTTCTGAAAGTTATTGCACTTTCTTTTATTAGCCTACATTCTCCTGCATCTTGTGCAAAACTTGATACTGTGTTCCAAAACCGAGGGAGCTGCCTGATATTGCAACCTCCTAACCATCACTGAACTTCAAAAACCTCTTATTTGAAACACTCTAAATAGCCAGCAACACAAAAAGACTCACATAGAGTTTGACATTAGCATGTTAAAGGGATAGTTCACCCAAAATGTATCATCATTTACTCTCATGTACACTCTGTTGAACACAAAATAAGATATTTTGAAGAATGTCGGTAGTTGACGGTAGAGTTGACGGTAGCCATTGACTTCCATAGTATTTTTTATTCCTACAATGGAAGTCAATGATAACCGTCAACCGTTTGATTACTAACATTCTTCAAAATATCTTCTATTATGTTCAACAGAAGAAAGAAATTGATACAGGTTTGGAAAAAGTGGGTGAGTAAATTATGACAGAATTAAAAATTTTGGGTGAACTATACCTTTAAAGACCCACTCCGATGAAAATAATGTTTTTCTAGGTGTTGAACATGTTCTTGTGCCATTTTTCTGATGTTAGAGGACATATCTTGAGAAAAATAAGCTCAAAGTTGTATTTCTGAGTATTTCTACATTCAAATGGCTGTGAATCAGTAGCAGACGCTAAAATGCCGGCTAAAATAGACTGGAGTTGTGACGTAGTAACTCCACTGGGCGTCTCCACACGCGAGGTCTTGGAGTGAAATAATGATCGGTGATAACTTTGATTAACTTCGGATAATAATAATTAACGTATATATAATACTGTTGCGTGTTGCCCCACCGGTATTGGGGGTGTAAGCTAGCGGGAGAGACAGAGCTCTCAGCAACGGGCAGGGGGAGGGTCGTCTCCGTGCCAACGGCTCCGCCCACAACGCAGAGGCGAATTGCTAATGAGCTACTGCCGCTCTGCTGAAGCGAAGTCCCAGAAAACGGCACAGGTTTTGTGATTTTGGCTAAAAATGGCATAATCATAATTTAAAGACCACTGGGAATGTTTAAAAATAGCTCAAAATATGATCGGAGTGGGACTTTAATGTCAGAACACTAATAAGAATAAAAATATATAACACAAATATTTAAATACATTTTTAAAATTAGTTTTTTGTTTTAACTATAGTTTTTCGTATGGAAAATCTGCATTTCAATCGGTTCTATACTAAGCTTGTTGAAATAAATTCTGGGATTTCATTTTCACAACGCATGCCTTCAAAATTTGCCCAAACAATGTGTCTTTGAAGTAGTCTAATTTTCCTACTTACGTTTTTGAGCATCTTTTGCATTGGGAGTATATCTATGATTCTGTCTAGGTAAGACTAACTTATGGAACAGAATTTATGTGTGCCTATCATTGATTTATTATGGTGCCCATTGCGTGCGTGCTATAAAAGTCAAGTTGATGAAGAGCAACTTTCACATTTAATTTCCATACCTCTACAAACCTCTTGTGTAACCTTAATGACTTCAATAAAACAGGACAACTTTCATATAACATTAATTCAAAGCTATATGCATCTTGTCATATTTTACACTGTGTGCATTTGGGATGATCTATATGGCTTAATATCATGTATCAGTATGGGCTGAACTAGATCCCATAAATCTCACTACATACCCTGCGTGTTCGCGTGCTGAATTTCGACCTCTAAGAACCTGCAACTTAAGAGAGATGATTTCAGATGGCCACATGCCTCCCCGTTCCACCCCTCCATCTTGTGTAATACCCCTCTCACCTCTCCCTGATGATGTTTTTTCAGATGTTCGCTAATAGAGAAGAAAACACAGTTGTCCTGGTCAACTTGACCCCCATGACTGAGTATGTTATCAATGTCTATGGAGTGATTGGTGAGGAGAGCAGCGAGCCTTTGAAAGGAAACGAAACCACATGTAAGTTGAGCAGATCAAAACCTCTCCTTCTGTTTATGTGAATCACACTAATTCTCCTACGGTTCAATCTCATTGTATGATAAAACTCACTTCATAAACCATATCTTTATCTCAACCACTGGAAACAGCTGTTTCCCTGCATACGGCTGCTATTTTCACAACTTTGTCTACATAAGGCAGCTACTTTCCAGTGGAAAATTGAATGTGATACTCTAGCCACCTAGCAACCACCCAGAATACCTTAGCAACACCCTAGCAACATGATTTGCATGAGCAAACACCACTCACATTTTCTTATGTAAATCTTGTAAGTAAATCCTGTTCTATTTATAACTGGAATTTCCCACCAATTTTTTAATGGCCAGGCTTGTCACAATGCCTTATCCACAAAAATACATGCAAAAATTTGGCCTAAACAAAAGATCCTTTAAGTTAAACAGCATTCGATGTGTTGGGAGCGCACTAATGGTGCCTGAAAATGTGTCTACAGTAGGTATAGGGAGTTCAGTATTGTTTGGAGCAGAGCCATTATGAAACCTCAAAGAAACACTGCAGCTCCTATATAACACAATTTTAATGCTGGTTTCCACATCACAAATATAAAGCAGCTGTGAAATCTGCTAAGTGGCCCCTTGTCAACAGCTTAGTTGTGGTCTTATAGATGGACAAAGTAAACTTGAATATTTTTTTTACAGATTTAAAGTAAACAGAACATCTTAATTGGCTATTCTCGCTTTATAGTTTGCTTAAGTCTTTTTAAACATTTCTCACTATAATGTTTATGATCAACATTACGAGACCTTATCCCATCGTAAAGAGAGGCTTATCGTCTTGTCATGAGCCACTTGGATGCAATAATCTGCCGTGGTCATTGTGGCTGTCATGTGTCGATGCTTTTTAATGAAAGAGGAACCGAGTCGGCTTGCTGGAATTAACTGTTTTATTAACCGATCCTTATTGCCATGGCTAAGCTACTGAGCATAACACTGTCACATGCATTCCGCACTCTCGGAGCCCCCCACTGACGTCACCGTTGTGCGACTCCCACAACCTGTAGTTACATATCACAACATCTCCCCCTTTTCAAAGGTTAAAGCTTCAACAGTTAAACAAGATGTACTACATCAAATAAAGATAAACATGAACATAACAGTCTCTAGGTGTTTGATGAATTACATTGGCATTACTTATTCTGATCTCAGGCACCTAATTCCTATTTATCCTATCAATTATCGGATCTTTCCCAAACATAACAATCTATTCCCATAGAACATAACTCGGGAACATAATGTAGCTGTATTAACTATACTTATCACCCAAAACAGAAAAACTGAGGAAACAGTGTGAAGATAAGTATCAATAAATGTTCAAGTGTCCCTATATCTGAGAGGTACTCTGACCTCACGACCTCTGGATGTCACTTGAACAGTTCTCTGAGGGGACGGCTGGTGTGGTGAACACACCACAGGTGAATCTTTCAGTCTCTGGACAGAAGCAGGGTCACCATGACTGGGTCTAGCCACAGAAGGAGGGCTGCTGTGCAGCTGCAGCGGAGATCCCTCAGACTGCTGCTGGTGGTCTGGAGAGTCAGCCAGCTCCGGGACTGCCTGCAGATGTCTTCTATTGCGTCGCAGCACTGCACCGTTATCTGTCTTCACGATGTAAGACCGGGGCTCACTGCACTTGCTAATGACTTTAGCAGACGTTTTCCACCCCTTTTCTCCATCCAATTTCACTCTAACGGCCTGCCCGGATTGGAGTTCAGGAAGAGGCAGAGCAGAGTGACGGCGATCGTGAAAGAACCGGTAGGCTGATTTAGCCTGAGCATCCTTCTGCTGGATTTGATGTCTGTCCACAGGAGAAGCTTGTAGTTTTCCTTCCAACATAGGAAGGGTGGTCCTAATGTCTCTTCCAGCCATAAGTAAAGCTGGGCTCACCCCCGTAACAGCACTAGGGGTGGCTCTGTAACACATTAGAGCAAGATATGGGTCTGGCTGCTTTAAAATGCGCTTAGCGGTCTGCACGGCTCTCTCGACAGCACCATTTGCTTGGGGGTAATGAGGGCTGGTAGTCGTATGCACAAACCCATAGCTTTGGCAGAAGTCTTGAAACTCACCCGAGGTGAATTGTGTGGCATTGTCGCTCACCAGCTCCGGCGGTATCCCCTATCTTGCAAACATGCCTTTGAGCCTGGTAATGACCTGGTGGCTGGATGTTGAAGACAGGTGGGAAATTTCAATGTCCCTGGAATAATAATCAGTCACAATGAGATAATTCTGTCTTTCTAGCTCGCACAAATCAGCAGCAATGCGCTGCCAGGGTCCCCCAGGTAAAGGTGTGGTGAGGAGCGGTTCACGTCTTTGAGTGCGTCTATTTTCAATGCAGAACTTACATGTTGACACTGTCGTTGTGATCTCTGCACTGATACAAGGCCACCATACTGACATCCTAGCTCAAACACGACACCTTGTTAGACCTTGGTGTCCCTCGTGTAGCTGTTTGAGCACTTCTGACCTAAGTGCAGTTGGGATAACCAGTCTATCTTGATACAACACTAGTCCATCGGTCTCAGAGAGGTGAGCTCTGGCAGAAGAATATCCGTGCAGGGATGGAAACAGCGATGCCCTTGGTGGCCATCCGTTCCTAATGAACTGCACGATCTTTTGTAGCTCTTCATCCTCTAGTGTAGCGGAGCGGATTTTCCCAAGTTTTTCTGATGAAACAGGCGCATTTTCTACCACTGACTCCACATATGCTTGAACGTCCTGGTCAGTGTGTTCATCACCACTGTCAGTCAGTGGGCTCCTAGAGAGAGCATCGGCTATGATAAGCTGCTTCCCCGGGACGTGCTCAGCCACCACATTGAATCTCAGTAGGCGCATTAGGAGTCTTTGGCACCGTGGAGGGACTTTGTCCAGGTCGTATGTATTTATGAGGGGTACTAGTGGTTTGTGGTCTGTTTGTAAAAGGAAGTTTTCCATGCCTTGCACATAGCGAGCGAAGCGCTCACTTGCCCACACCCCTGCAAGACACTCCTTTTCAATTTGGGAGTATCTCTTCTCTGCATCTGACAATGTGCGGGAGCAGAATGCAACTGGCTTTAACACACCCTCCTGTTCCTGCAATAATGCCGCACCTAATCCGTAGCTGCTCGCATCGGCGCTGATGACAGTCTTGCGGTTAACATCATAATATGCAAGTGCTGGTGCTGACACGAGCATAGCTTTCACTTTCTCAAACGCCGCTTCTTGAACATCACTCCACACCCACTCACTTTCTTTCCTGAGCAGGGCAGTGATGGGATGCAGCTGTGAGGAGAGGCCAGGCAGGAACTTTCCAACATAGTTGACAAGACCCAGAACCTGTTTAAGTTCCGTAACATTGGTTGGGCTTGGCATCTGTGTGATGGCTTTAACTTTATCAGTGTCAGGTCTCATGCCTTCTGCACTTATGAGGTGGCCAAAGCACTTTATTTCGGTTTTGCCGAAATGACACTTGGCCTTGTTCAACTTTAAACCACTGTCCTTTATGGTCATCAGCACCGCATCAAGACGGGTGTCGTGTTCTTTCCTTGTTGCTCCATAAACAAGTATGTCGTCCATTACTACTACAACTCCATCATGACCCTTTAACAGTGTCGACATCTGTCGTTGGAAGATTTCTGGAGCTGATGTGATACCAAATGGCAGCCGTCGGAAACAGAATCTCCCCATTGGGGTGATGAAGGTTGTCAGCTTTTGGCTTGCAGCATCCAAGGGGATCTGCCAAAATCCGCAGGTGGCGTCAAGGGTAGAGAACACTTTAGCTCCAGCTAGCTTGGGAGCAATATCCTCCAATGTTGGCATGATGTACCTCTCTCGCTTAACCGCCTTATTTAAGCGTTTTAGATCGACACACACTCGCACTTGCTCCTTGTTCTTTTTCACTACTGGAACCATCGGGGCACACCAGTCAGAAGGCACTGTAACCTCCTCAATTATGCCCAGGGCCAGCATGCGTTTAAGTTCAGCCTCTACTTTAGCCAGGAGGGGGAACGGGATGCGACGTGCCGTCGTCAGTGAGTAGGGCTCACAGTCAGCTTTAAGCTCGATTTTTACAGGGTCGCACTTGAGCAAACCGATATCCCCAAACACCTGACTTAACATTACAGTGTCCATCCCGTCTACTCTCATGACCAGTCCCATTCTTGTGGCAACACTCCGTCCCAGGAGGTTGTGAGAGTATGGCCCTTTAATTACAGTTATCCAGAATCTGCACTTTTCTCCTTTGTACTCACTTGTTGCCAGGAACTTGCCAATACTCTTAACTTCGCCGCCAGGGCTGGTGATGGGTCCTTTCGTTGCAGTGACCAGGCGGGAGCGCTGTGGCAGTCTCATGAATGCAGCCTGTGACATTACACTGACGTCTGCCCCAGTGTCTATTTTGAATTTCACAGTGCTGCCATTAACAGGTAAGTCAACGAGCCACTTATTTTCTGAATCAGGTGGATCCATTATGTCTGACACATGTTCAGTAATTTCTCCAAGGAAAAACATCTCATCTGTGTTAGTGGTGCTGCTAGGCATTGTAACCACCTCTTTCAGCATCCTCGTCTGACAAGCTGCCTCAAAATGTCCAATTTTATTACACCTTCTGCACTTTTTATTCTTGGCTGGGCAAGGATGTATTTTACCATGTTGTCTGTTACAGCGGGGACAGGTAGGATGCTGTTTTGACTCACTGTGTTCCTGTTTTTTCTGCCATTGTCCATCGTTGCTGCTCCTTTTGCCATGGAACGGCCGCCTCCCCTGTCTCATGGCGTCTACTGCACACTCCGAGCGCAGGCTCACATTCTGTTGTTTTATTTGTTCGCTCTGGCGCGCTATTTGAATAGCTCGTTCAAGAGAGAGTTCCGGCTCGAGCTGTAACTTCTGTGATACATCGTTGTCAGATATACCAATAACTATTCTGTCCCTGATTTGCTCATCTTTAGTGTGCCCAAACTCACAGTACTGTGCTAGTTTGTATAAACTTCTCACAAAAGCCTCTACTGACTCACCGAGCTTTTGTGCTCTCTTGTGAAAACATGCTCTTTCATGGATCACGTTTCTCTTGGGCACAAAATGATCGGAGAATTTGGCTATCACCGTGTCATAATCCAACTCCGGTCTACCTCTTTCCTCTTCATCCTCTCCGCTGTCATCGTACACAAAGGAATCATAAATCGCTTCCGCCTCTCTCCCCATTGCGTATAGAAGCGTGTTTACTTGCAATTCACCGCTATCTTTGTCCAACTTTGACGCCACCCGAAAGCGGTCGAAACGTCGGCGCCACATCAGCCATTCCGCCGGCCGCGTGAAGTCAAAAGATTCCGGAGGTCCGAGCTTCGCCATGTCTTATTTTCAGAGCGTGAAGTCGGCCACTTCTGACACCATGTCATGTGTCGATGCTTTTTAATGAAAGAGGAACCGAGTCGGCTTGCTGGAATTAACTGTTTTATTAACCGATCCTTATTGCCATGGCTAAGCTACTGAGCATAACACTGTCACATGCATTCCGCACTCTCGGAGCCGCCCACTGACGTCACCGTTGTGCGACTCCCACAACCTGTAGTTACATATCACAACAGTGGCTTTAGCTTTATGGTCATTTAATGTGACCAAAACATGACTGTTAATGAGAAATCACAACTTTTTATTGTTCTTTTTCATTCTTATAAAGCTGTTTTGAATGTGCTTCAAAGATAGATTAGATCATTTGAATCTTTTTTCACAGTGCCCCTACCTGCTGTTGGTAGCACTGTGACACAAGTTCATGGAAAAAAATGCTCTGTTTTCAGTTAGGCAATATTTCATTGAGGAGAGAGAGAAAGTCACAGAATAGCACACGTTTAGGAAAGTTTCTTTGCTCTCCATCGCTGTCTGCCAGCGTTTTTTCAGACTAAACTAATAGTGGTATAATGGATCATACCAGCTTATGGCTTAACATGCTGTTTTTTCAACATTTATTTCTTTTTTAAATTAATATTTTATGTATTATTTTTAAGCCAATTTGTTTTTAATTTAATTAGGTGTTCAAGCACGAAGTGCTGAAAACCTATTGTAATTGCTATTTGAAAAAAAAAAAAAAACTAAAACGCATCGTGCAGCCCAAACCGTAAGGCCTAGAGACTTGAAACCTGGCCAGGTGCTAGGGCCTCAGTTTGGGGAGAACCTATCAGAGTATGACCCTGATTGGCCCATAGGTGGCGCTACAGCAACCAAAAGTACTAAATTGCCCATAACTCATCGACCGTTTGACCTAGAATCTATTTGTACACCACTGTGTTCCTTGGCTCAAGACGGACAAGATGTATATCTCGGATTGTCGATTTGAGCAAAAAAAAAATTGTTATGGCCAATTTTGTCCAAAACCTACTTTTGCGAACTAGTCCCTGGTTTTTTCCCTGATCGGAACCAGACCAGTCTAGGACAATTCTATGGACTCTCTAGATCAATAATTATCAAAAAAAAGTTGAACTTTGCCCTTTGGTTCACTGTAACAGGGTCATTTAGAAAAGGGGGTGTGTCAAAATACACTCAAAAGCCTATAAATCATAAATAAAAACTCAGAACTTCACAAAAATTGATGAGCACATGTGTCCTAACATGGTGAAGAAGCATGCAGAGTTTCATGGAGATCGGACCATAGGTGGCGCTATAACTGTCAAAAAGGTCCCCCATTATTAGGTGTTCAAGCACGAAGTGCTGAAAACCTATTGTAATTGCTATTTGAAAAAAAAAAAAAACCTAAAACGCATCGTGCAGCCCAAACCGTAAGGCCTAGAGACTTGAAACCTGGCCAGGTGCTAGGGCCTCAGTTTGGGGAGAACCTATCAGAGTATGACCCTGATTGGCCCGTAGGTGGCGCTACAGCAACCAAAAGTACTAAATTGCCCATAACTCATCGACCGTTTGACCTAGAATCTAGATTTGTACACCACTGTGTTCCTTGGCTCAAGACGGACAAGATGTATATCTCGGATTGTCGATTTGAGCAAAAAAAAAAAATGTTATGGCCAATTTTGTCCAAAACCTACTTTTGCGAACTAGTCCCTGGTTTTTCGCCCGATCAAAACCAGACCAGTCTAGGACAATTCTCTGGACTCTCTAGATCAATAATTATCAAAAAAAAGTTGAACTTTGCCCTTTGGTTCACTGTAACAGGGTCATTTAGAAAAGGGGCGTGTCAAAATACACTCAAAAGCCTATAAATCATAAATGAAAACTCAGAACTTGACAAAAATTGATGAGCATATGTGACATAACATCATGAACACGCATGCAAAGTTTCATGGAGATCGGACAATAGGTGGCGCTATAACAGTTGAAAAGGTTTAAAACCATGTATTTCCTATGGTAAATTGCCTGTATTGGCTGTAAATGGTCTTTTCCATCTATGATCATATAATTTTCATATCTTAATGTTTAAAACCAGTGCAGTACAATTATCTGCACTCTCTAGATAAATAATTATCAGAAAAGGTATAATTACTTCATTTGGATGGCTATAATAGGGTCACTTCAATATGTAGCCTTGACCAAATGTCCCCAAAAACCTATATCTCTTCAATGAATGCTCAGATCTTCTTAAAAAAAGGTCAGGACATATCACTCTAAACAAGCTTGACAAATTTGCCTCTATAACAGTTAAAAAGGTGAAAATGATATGAATATAGTGGCATATTAAGCCAATAAGTGGTGTTTTACTGCCCCCTGCTGTTTAAAATAGTAATTTTGTCATAATGCTGACTATCATTGTTCTATAATTCATGTTTAGAATTAACATAATCACTATTTTAACATTTACAATCACATTTAGTCAAAATTCATTGTCACATTGACAAATGTGAACCCTGAATGAGACAGTTTAATCTACAATAGAATGTGTGTGTGTGTGTAGTCCCATGTTTCTGAATAAATTCTGAATAATCTGATTAATAGCTTGCAAAGACATTAAATGCTTATAGACCATTAAAATATATTTTCATAATGACTTTGTGTGTGTGTCTGTGTGTGTGTGTGTGTGTGTGTGTGTGAGCAAATGTCTACATATGAGTGCAAAAGCACCTGTGAAAACACTTTATTAATAAGTAGAATGGCCAGCAGAGGGCAGTAGAAGACCACTTATTGTCTCACTCTCATTTTGACACACTTGATTTTCAACAGTAAATCAAAGCACTAAAGCAAACCAGTTTTTCCATGTTAACTATTATAACACAATCATTTTTTGTCAGAGTTTATCACTTCATTTTTATTGGCACTTCACATCAATGCAGCAATGTGGTAAATCATGGTAAATCACGATAGAAACATGGTAAATCATAGTAAAAAATACTATTACATGGTGTATCATGGCAAATCATGCTAGCAATGTGATGAATCATGGTAAATCATGCTACAATCCTGGTAAATCATTCTAGAATGTGGTATATCATGGTAAATCATCCTATAACATGGTAAATCATGGTAAACTGTGGTAAATCATGCTAGATTCATGGTAAATCATACTGGAACATGGTAGATCATGAAAAATCACACTAAATTTGGTATATCATGGTAAATCATGCTAAAACATGGTCTATTCCATCTATGATGTCAATGGTTAAATGCTTGCTATATAAAACTTAATGTCTTTTGATGCTTTTGTGCTTAACGGCCTTAAAGGCCTTAACTGCTTGAACACCGCTAAATGCTGCTAGCAGCTTTAATTTAATTTATTTTTATTAAATTTTATTAAATTTTATTTAAATTTTTTTTTTTTTTAACCAAACTGGTCAGCAGGTTGAAACCTCCTGGACCAACTAGAAACCATGTAAAACTAAATACAATCAGCTGGTGCCTCATTTTTATATATCTTTATTTCATGAGCATGTGTGTAAATAATCAATTTCACAAGATATTTCTCACTTGCAGACCATGTGTGATGGTGTCCAGTGAGATCACCAGTGCTCTAGCCTCAGTTTGGGGTCTCTTCTCATCCTCTATAGGTATCTGGAGCTCCACACGTTCTACCAATGTGGAATGCGCAAAAGAGATGAAGCTCGTATTTCATGCATCACAAAGGGCTACTTCTTTTCTCTGTAGAACAGAAGCAAAAACAATTCCAGGAAAACTTCCTCCAGGGCCAGGTGCCAAAGGGGATTTGGATACAATGCAAGACTGAAGATTCAAAGGAGAAAAGTAGAAATTGAATGGAAAGAGTCTGTAGCTCCAAGAAATTACAGAGAAATAAAAGTCTTATCTAAAATTGTGATGTTTTGAAGTGTAAATTGCGGTAAGTTGCGGTGTAAATGTGCCTTTTTATTTGCTGTGAGCATGTGTACACGTCTCTTCCCCGTTTCTCATCACTCTCTCGTTGAACTCTGCCTTCCATCAGCGAATATACAATCACATCTAAGCTCCTCTTGGCGTTTCTCACTGTATAACTCTGGTGTGTTTTACTCACAGATGCTCAGTGTAAAACCACAGCCAAGGCTGATATCGTCCTGCTGGTTGATGGATCCTGGAGTATCGGCCGTTTGAACTTCAAAATCATCCGGGCTTTTATTTATCGCATGGTGGGCGTCTTTGACATCGGCCCTGACAGGGTTCAAATCGGCAAGTCTTCCCTGCTTCTGTTTACTTCATGTTTGTTAGATATGTTGACGGTATATTCCTGCATCTGGACTCCAGATGTGAGCTTTATGCAGAGCTCCTTATTGAGTTATTGACAGGAACCTTTACTCTTGCATTCATAATGGCGTGTGCTTCTCTCACAGGTTTGGCTCAGTACAGCGGGGACCCCAAAACTGAGTGGCATTTGAACGCTCATGCAACCCGTCAATCTCTGCAGGATGCTGTGGCCAACTTACCCTACAAAGGCGGAAATAAAATGACGGGTACCGAGCTCTTACATAAGCGCTTGAAAATTGACATTACCTATGATTCTGCAAAGAAATCTCCTCCAATCAGAGAATCAAAACTAGCAAATTACACTAAAATAATACTTTAGCACCTGCCAGTGACATGATTGTCAATCTGCCCAAGCTCACAAACTACTTACATAATTGTATGTATATGCATATTTTGCTAAATATTTAAAATATGTTGCTTCTTTTAATGCCAAAATTACACACTTCACCTTTAAATCAGTTTCAGAAGTGATTTGCACATAGAATATAGACAGATAAGAAATGCATGAATCCACAACAGCCATTTCTAATAGAGAAATGCAATAGATCTAATAAAATAAGGTGACAGTTCACCATTGACTGTTACGAAACCAACATGCAACTTAATGTGTTTCCAAAGGTATGGCCTTGAACTACATCCTACAGAACAACTTCAAGGCAAATGTGGGTATGAGACCCGATTCTCGTAAGATTGGTGTCCTTGTTACCGACGGCAAATCTCAGGACGAGATTGTAGTGAATTCTCAGAAACTGCGTGACTCTGGCATTGAGCTCTATGCCATCGGTAAGTTCTTCTCTTCTTGACATTGCTGACATAATATCTATTCAGTCACAATGGACTATAATAGTTTGCATGCCAGTGATGGATACTCAACCCAGAGCTCTCCTGTGTCCAAACATCTCACAGCTTTTTATTTGGCAAGACTACAGCTTGATCAATGTCTCTTTGACCCAGCTGAAGTAATTGCGATCTTTCAATAATGATCTCCTCTTGGCTTCTAGGTGTGAAGAAAGCAGATGAAAATGAGTTGCGATCCATTGCCACCGACCCTGATGATATTCACATGTACAACGTCAACGACTTCTCCTTCCTGTTGGACATTGTGGACGACCTCACTGTTAACCTCTGTAACAGTGTTAAAGGCCCAGGTACAGTCAGTCACATACTTGACTAGTGTTTGATTTGACTGAAAAACAATCTGTGAATCTAAACAAATCTATCCTAGTACTGTTCTGCAGACTAGAAATAAAAAAACCAAGAACTTCCAAAGTTTGGCTCGGCTAAAACTGCTTGAACTTGTGCCATCCATTTTTGATTTGCACTCTTGTTTTCCCAGATGGTTCTTTGTTTTTGTTTTACTAATAATCTTGCTGAAAAGACTGAGAGGGAAAACTGTAGGTTGCACTCCGATCCTCCTTGGGGGATAGCAGTGATTTACAGAACCATGAAACATGTGATATATAACCCATTTAACCTTTTGCAAGAAGCTAATAGGCCTGAGGAAGATTTATAGTCTAAGTGTAAACCTGTTTGAGAGCTGTTTGACACCACGGCTCACATTTTTCCATTGCTTTCATTGAACCAGGCGGTGGCCCAGGGACACCCACTGACCTTGTGACTTCCGAGGTCACACACTACTCTTTCCGTGCGACCTGGATGCCACCTGACAAGCCAGTGGAGAAGTTTCGCATCGAGTACGTCCCCGCCGCTGGAGGAAATACTGAAGTGGTGAGCATTAAAAACACATAAATTGTGTTCAAATGGACAAATGCATGCATGGTAGATACTTCACAGACTTTGAGCTTCTGAAAGTTATTGCACTTTCTTTTATTAGCCTACATTCTCCTGCATCTTGTGCAAAACTTGATACTGTAGCTCTGTTCCAAAACCGAGGGAGCTGCCTTATATTGCAACCTCCTAACCATCACTGAACTTCAAAAACCTCTTATTTGAAACACTCTAAATAGCCAGCAACACAAAAAGACTCACATAGAGTTTGACATTAGCATGTTAAAGGGATAGTTCACCCAAAATGTATCATCATTTACTCTCATGTACACTCTGTTGAACACAAAATAAGATATTTTGAAGAATGTCGGTAGTTGACGGTAGAGTTGACGGTAGCCATTGAATTCCATAGTATTTTTTTATTCCTACAATGGAAGTCAATGATAACCGTCAACCGTTTGATTACTAACATTCTTCAAAATATCTTCTATTATGTTCAACAGAAGAAAGAAATTGATACAGGTTTGGAAAAAGTGGGTGAGTAAATGATGACAGAATTTAAATTTTGGGGTGAACTATATGTCACGGGTGGTGTATGGCAGGAAGCACGAGGAGACGAGGAATTCCAATAAACAATAAACTTTACTATAAATCAAAACAACAAACAGGTACAGGCAGACAGATGGGTAGCGGATACAAACACCAGGTAACATTGACGAGAACCGACCAGGAGTGAGGGAGAACACAGGGTTTACATACACAGAGAACAGATAGGGGAACAAGACACAGCTGGGGCAAATTAACTAGACACAGGTGAAGGAACTGAGAACTAACGAGGAGAGGGAAAACTGAGACACAGGAATAAACCAAATACACAATGACGGGGGGAAACTCAGGACACACATGTAACATAACGCCCCCTCCAAAAAGGCGCGTCCTCGCGCCGTATAACTTCAAATGGGGTGGGGGGGGGGCGGGAGCAGGCTGGTCAGGGGGCCATGGTGGAGTAGGAGACCACCCCTCGGGCGGTCCTGGCGGAGAATCCCCTTCGGGCGGCCATGGCGGAGAATCCCCTTCGGGCGGCCATGGCGGAGAATCCCCTTCGGGCGGCCATGGCGGAGAATCCCCTTCGGGCGGCCATGGCGGTGACGCACCTTCGGGCGGCCATGGCGGAGACGCACCTTCGGGCGGCCATGGCGGAGACGCACCTTCGGGCGGCCATGGCGGAGACGCACCTTTGGGCGGCCATGGCGGAGACGCACCTTCGGGCGGCCATGGCGGAGACGCACCTTCAGGTGGCCTATATCCCCCCCAAAAAATTTTCTTAGGGGGATTGCCAGGCTCAGGGACGTGCTCCAGGACAGGCTTGGAAGGACTGGACGGGACCAGCGGAGAAGGCTCGGGAGGACTGGACGGGACCAGCGGAGAAGGCTCTGTAGGGCTGACTTGAAGCTCTGGCTCGGCAGGCGTGACGTGAAGCTCTGGCTCAGCAGGCGTGACGTGAAGCTCTGGCTGGACGTGGCTGACGTGAAGCTCTGGCTGGACGTGGCTGGACGGAACCAGCAGTGCAGGCCCGGCTGGGCTGGACGGAACCAGCGGTGCAGGCTCGGCTGGGCTGGACGGAACCAGCGGTGCGGGCTCGGCTGGGCTGGACGGAACCAGCGGCGCGGGCTCGGCTGGGCTGGACGGAACCAGCGGTGCGGGCTCGGCTGGGCTGGACGGAACCAGCGGTGAGGGCTCGGCTGGGCTGGATGGAACCAGCGGTCAGGGCTCGGCTGGGCTGGATGGAACCAGCGGTGAGGGCTCGGCTGGGCTGGATAGAACCAGCGATGAGGGCTCGGCTGGGCTGGACGGAACCAGTGGTTTGGGAAACTCTGGGCTGAGTTCATGGGCTGTAGCTGATGTTCGTGTAGCCCACACATACAGGATCGCCGCAGACATTACAATCAGCGCAGTGTCCTCTTGGATGTACTCACGTACGGTGTGCTCAGTCTCTAACGAGCAGGCGACGGGCTCAAGCTCTGGCGGGCAGGCGACGGGCTCAGGCTCTGGCGGGCAGGCGACGGGGGCAGGCGACGGGCTCTGTGCTGGATGGGACCAGTGGTGAAGGGGTATCTGGGCTGGACGGGACCAGGGGTGAAGAAGGCTTTGAGCTGGGCAGGACCAGCAGTGAAGAAGGCTTTGAGCTGGGCAGGACCAGCGGTGAAGAGGGCTTCGAGCTGGGCGGAACCAGCGGTGAAGAGGGCTTCGAGCTGGGCGGAACCGGCGGTGAAGGGTCTTTTCCGCCATGGCCGCCCGAAGGGTCTTCTCCGCCGTGGCCGCCCGAAGGGTCTTCTCCACCGTGGCCGCCCGAAGGGTCTTCTCCACCGTGGCCGCCCGAAGGTCTTCTCCACCGTGGCCGCCCGAAGGGTCTTCTCCACCGTGGCCGCCCGAAGGGTCTTCACCGCCGTGGCCGCCCGAAGGGTCTTCACCGCCGTGGCCGCCCGAAGGGTCTTATCCGCCGTGGCCGCCCGAAGGGTCTTCACCGCCGTGGCCGCCCGAAGGGTCTTCTCCACCGTGGCCGCCCGAAGGGTCTTCACCACCGTGGCCGCCCGAAGGGTCTTCTCCACCGTGGCCGCCCGAGGGGTCTTCACCGCCGTGGCCGCACGAAGGGTCTTCTCCACCGTGGCCGCCCGAAGGGTCTTCTCCGCCGTGGCCGCCCGAAGGGTCTTCTCCCCGAGGGTCCGACAGCTCCGCTCTGGACGCCCGAGGGTCCGACAGCTCCGCCCTGGACGCCCGAGGGTCCGACAGCTCCGCCCTGGACGCCCGAGGGCCCACAGTCTGCTCCGCCCTGGTTACGCCCTCAGCCTGCTCCGCCGTGGCCACGCCCTCAGCCTGCTGTCATGGACACGCCCACAGCCTGCTCCGCCCTGGCAGCCTGTTCGTCCTGCTCCGCCCTGGCCGCCTGTTCGTCCAGGTCCGCCCACGTTCCATGGCCCATGCTCGTCATTGCTAGGCCCTGGTCCCGTTCTCTGCGCGGACCTGGCCCTCCGTCCCTCCCCCGGGACCGCCTCCGCTCCACCGCCCTTCCGAATTGTCTTGTGTCCTGTTTTGTTGGGCGTCGGGAGCCGCCCATAGAGGGGGGGCTATGTTGTGATGTCTGTCTGTGTTCCCCCTGTCTTTGTGCACTTGGTTCAGTCCTGTTCCCTGTTTTCCCGCTCCCCGTTATCTCTATTAGTCTTCACAGGTGTCCCTGATTAACCACGCCCCCTTGTCATCTTGTTTAGCTTGTTTGCCTTTGTATTTAAGCCCTGTGTTTCAGTCCAGTCCTTGTGAGTTCTTGTGTTGTTACTGTCGATGTTGGTTGTACTGCTCCTATAATAGTATATCTATGATTCTGTCTAGGTAAGACTAACTTATGGAACAAAATTTATATGTGCCTATCATTTATTTATTATGGTGCCCATTGCGTGCGTGCTATAAAAGTCAAGTTTGATGAAGAGCAACATTCAAATTTAATTTCCATATCTCTACATACCTCTTGTGCAACCTTAATGACTTCAATAAAACAGGACAACTTTCATATAACAATAATTCAAAGCTATGCATCTTGTCATATTTTACACTGTGTGCATTTGGGATGATCTATATGGCTTAAAAGTATCATGTATCAGTATGGGCTGAACTAGATCCCATAAATCTCACTACATACCCTGCGTGTTTGCGTGCTGAATTTCGACCTCTAAGAACCTGCAACTTAAGAGAGATGATTTCAGATGGCCACATGCCTCCCCGTTCCACCCCTCCATCTTGTGTAATACCCCTCTCACCTCTCCCTGATGATGTTTTTTCAGATGTTCGCTGATGATGAAGAAAACACAGTTGTCCTGGTCAACTTGACCCCCATGACCGAGTATGTTATCAATGTCTATGGAGTGATTGGTGAGGAGAGCAGCGACCCTTTGAAAGGAACCGAAACCACATGTAAGTTGAGCAGATCAAAACCTCTCCTTCTGTTTATGTGAATCACACTAATTCTCCTACTGTTCAATCTCATTGTCTGATTAAACTCACTTCATAAACCATATCTTTATCTCAACCACTGGAAACAGCTGTTTCCCTGCATACGGCTGCTATTTTCACAACTTTGTCTACATAAGGCATAGGGCTGTAACGATACACCAAACCCACGATTCGATTCGTATCACGATTTTTGACCCACGATTCGATTCGTATCGCGATTCTATCACGGGGGCGGGGCTTGAGGGGGCGGGGCTTGTGGTGAAAAAAAGAGATTTTGAGAGAAGAAAAAAAATACCGGTATTTTTATTAAATAACATTAGGAAAAACCTGTATAATCTAAACACCAAAGAACGAGGGATCCCCCCTTAGATTTTCCAAACAAAATTATTACATTTATCTTGCCTAAATGTTTGCGCTCACGCTCATTGCATTTTTACAATGGGGTAATAGCCTATTGTTGTTAAGAATTTACACATCACAAGGAAGCTTGATTTAAATTGTTTAATTAAATTGAAAAAAGTAGCACAAATAAATACAATAGAATAAAGATACAAATAAAGACAATTAAAGAGAAAAGTTTTTGAATAGGTCTAATAGTAACGTTATTCATATACAGACACTGAATAAAGTAATAAAATGGAAAATAACACTGGGTAGTATTTTAGTCCTGAATAAATTAAATACATAGGCTATTAATCCTGATTCCTTTAACTTAAAGCCATCTTTTGTTGTTTTGACAACAAAATTAATGACAGACACATATGACTGCCGTCACTTTAAGAGCTAGTGCACAGATCCTGTGTTCATTATACTGCATGCGTTTTATGCTTATTAAAGACAAAACCGACTATATTTAGAGTATAGCCTACTCACAAAGACCGAAATTGACAATTTTGCGTGTTAAAGCAATATAATCCGCGAAAAATAGTTACTAGCCAGCCAGCTGTTTTTGAGGTGGATTTTCTATGAATGTGCGCATAGAAAATAATCTCAGAGAGCGCGCGAGCACTGATTAGTTTAAAATCGCTTGAATGTTTAAACTGGTAAGACTTAAAAAGACTTCAGTCACGATGCACTGCTGGCCCGATTGTGCAAGTGAATATTCCGTCATGTCCCGACTCCAAAACGCGAGTGTGTATGATCGCCGCAGCGCTTGATGCCTGCCTTGCACAAAACATTATGAGAAGAGATTGAAGACGCGCGGCACCGCTGAACACTCACGCTGTTTGTGAAATTGCGTCTGGAAGATAGTTGTTAAAAGAATGATTTGATTTTATTATCTGTGTGGATTACAATTGCGGGAATTTCCCGCATTATAAATGGGAGACCTGCGGGAATGATTAGAATTATGCGCAATACCCGCGCCGAAATTCGAGCCCTGGTTCTGGACAGGAAGGATAACTCTGGGAGTTGGAAGGGGTGTGATCGCGATTCTGCCTTCTCACATCGCGATACAGGATCGTGGACCTGAGCATCGCGATTTCGATTTTATATCGCGTATCGTTACAGCCCTAATAAGGCAGCTACTTTCTAGTGGAAAATTGAATGTGATACTCTAGCCACCTAGCAACCACCCAGAATACCTTAGCAACACCCTAGCAACATGATTTACATGAGCAAACACCACTCACATTTTCTTATGTAAATCTTGTAAGTAAATCCTGTTCTATTTATAACTGGAATTTCCCACCAATTTTTTAATGGCCAGGCTTGTCACAATGCCTTATCCACAAAAATACATGCAAAAATTTGGCCTAAACAAAAGATCCTTTAAGTTAAAGAGCATTCGATGTGCTGGGAGCGCACTAATGGTGCCTGAAAATGTGTCTACAGTAGGTATAGGGAGTTCAGTATTGTTTGGAGCAGAGCCATTATGAAACCTCAAAGAAACACTGCAGCTCCTATATAACACAATTTTAATGCTGGTTTCCACATCACAATGTTATTTATTATTTATTTCTATCATGCTGTATATATATATATATATATTGTCGGGGGTACTGGACCAATAAGGTCAGGAAACCTCCATAATGTGTGAATAACATTTTAAACAATATTGATGTTAGTAAAGCATGTTCAGTGGATAAACTTATAATCCTGATTGACCTGTTTTGGAGAACAAGGAATTTGATATTATTCCTAAAATTATATCAATGTCCTTTGCTTCCTTGCTATTTAGTAAGACATTCTGAATCAATTTAATAATTAATAATACACAAAAAAAATTTGTAAGGAACAATTAAAGGTTTAGTTCACCTAAAAATGAAAATTCTGTCATTAATTACTTTCATTCATCTACAGGAACTTTTTGATGAAATCTGAGAGTTTTCTTTCCCTCCATTGACAACTACGCAACTACCACTTTCAAGCCCCAGAAAGGAAGTAAAGAGATCATTAAAGTAATACATTTGACTCCAGTGGTTTAACCTCAATTTTATCAAGCGACACAAGTGCTTTTTTTTACCACTTTACCACATAATTTACCACTTTATTTACAAAATATTATAGTAATCTCCAACACATTCACGAGAGCACCACGACGCATGTGTGTTGCGTTGATGTGAGAGCAGACATTGTTGAGTTAACATGCGCTGAAGATTAATATTCTGTGAAAAAAGTGGTAAATTATGTTTTTTTTTGGTTCAAACAAAGCTCTCGCCATCGCTTGCTAAAATTGAGGTTAAACAAGTCACATGGATTACTTAAATCATGTCTTTACTACCTTTCTGGGGCTTGAAAGTGATAGTAGCGTAGCAGTCAATGGAGAAAGTTCCCAGATTTCATCAAAAAGATCTTCATTTGTGTTCTGTAGATGAACGAAAGTCTTACGGGTTTGGAACAACATGAGGGAGAGTAATAGACAGAATTTTCATTTTTGGGTGAACTAACTCTTTAATATACATATAAGTACAAACATTCACAAATTTTCCTGAATGTTTCGCCCATAGAAGTGCATTACTGTACATATCATTAATTTACAATACTGAACCCAGAACATTCCTATAATGAAGATTTTGACACATTTTTTACTTGCTTTGAAAAGGGGGTTAGTCTAGTGCCAAAAAAACAAGGGTAATTACTTTAGATATCTCTAAATTATTTCTTCTGGAGAAGTTGCAGTGCGATCAGAGTTTAGTGTTTAATCCAGGCCATCTGGGAGCCAGAGGACATTGTTATGAGAAATAAGAAACAACAGCTGGAGATCTGGAGTCCCGTTTAACATCCTGATCGTGTCCTTCTGCCGGATACAATCTCAACTACACAGATAAAGACAAAAATCTGTGTGGCATTAAAGAAACCGTTTGCCCAAGTATGAAATGATGTCATCACTTACTCACCCTCACGTTGTATGACTTTCTTTCATCCTAGATGTTTTACAGAAGGTCCAGAATGATCTTTTTCATATGAGGCCTGGTGCTGTCGAGCTCCAAAAAAGCTCTCAAATCTCATTCAAATCTGCTTTCGATTAATTTAGACGATATTAGCCACAGAAGAATGAAAGTCAAACGGGTTTGGAGCGACATGAGGGTGAGTAGCCTAAATGATGACAAACTTTTTATTTTCAGCTGAACTTTTCCTCTAAAGCAACAAGCTTTTGTGTTTGCTGTTTTGTGTGTCACTATCGAGGGCTTTTTAAATCAATTAATTCCATTTTCATTGCAGCCAAACTGACAGTGTTCGTTTTCTAATCGATCCTTGCGTAATAACAGGCTTTGGCAGCTCTCTGATGACATCACTCATGAGATAGATTCCCAGAAAACGATCGTAAAATCGCTTTATTTTCACCATCCATGAACTTGGCTGCTCAAAAAGTGCAGCATGAATCTGACACTGATTCTTTCCATGCAGTAGGCTAAGTCGTGGCTTTCAGATGATTGCAGTTTTGTCTCAGCTCACTTTCCTGTTTTCATCCACAGAGAATCTTGTGCTCCTTGTGAATCGAGAGCCGCGCTGAGGCTGTTTCGGATGCTTTCCATAATATGCCTGACAGAAGGGTCTCTACACCTGCCCTGCATCCAAACGCACCAATAAAAAGAGGGGATCTGTAGTGTGGCAGCTTGTATACACATGCATTCACAGGCTAAGACAGACAGACTGCTGAAACCTGGATGCCAGTAAAGAAAGTTAGAGTAAAAAGGTCATGCTTTTGAGAACAAAATGATAAGCCTATAGAACATGAAAAGTTGCAGCATGTGAGAAGAAGAGAAACCCATATATTTTTTTTACATGTGTTTTGAGAATAAAAGCCCATTCACACCAAGAACTATAACTATATAACTATTAACTAAAGGATGCACTGCAGTTTTGCCGTGTGCTTAAATGCTCAAAGTCAGATGGATTCAGATTTTCTGTCAAAGTTTTTATGGTTCATCAGGTAGAAAAAAATAGTTTTGAAAATGATTCCATCGATATTGTTCTTCTGTGCTGTTATCGTTATAGTTGTGGTGTGAACTCTGTTTTCTTTTACATTTAGAACAATTTTTTAAAACCGTATTGCTATAGTTATTGTCCTTGGTGTAAATGGGTCTTAAAGGGATACTCCACCCAAAAATGAAAATTCTGTCATCATTTACTCACCCTCAAGTTGTTGCAAACCAGTATGAGTTTCTTTCTTCTGCTGAACACAAAGGGAGATATTTTGAAGAACGATTGGAACTTTGGCTTTTTCTACTATGGAAGTCATTGGTGGCAAACAACTGTTTGGTTCCAATCGTTCTTCAAAATATCTTCCTTTGTGTTCAGCAGAAGAAAGAAACTCATACAGGTTTGCAACAACTTGAGGGTGAGTAAATGATGACAGAATTTTCATTTTTGGGTGGAGTATCCCTATAAAGGGATAGTTCACCCAAAAATGAAAATTCTGTCATTATTTACTTTAGTTCATTCATAGTCACTTGACGTGCGAGAACCAATGAGGTTAATTCTTGTGTTACGCAGCACGTTTGAGCTTCAGCAAGAACCAATGAGATTCATTCTCGTATTATGTATCACGTTTGAGCTT